GGGAGGGAAGACATCTGCTCTACGGAAGCCGTGTCTTGAGTAGTTGGCTCTGTTACAATTCGCAAAAGTGCTTGGATACGATTGAGAAATCGCATAACAAAACGTCGAGAACCGCGCTAAGAAACGTGGAGCGGCTGAGCTGGGCTTAGTTTGTGGCACAGTCCGCGGGAAGCTACCAAGTTTGGCTGAAGTTGGTGCATGAACCAATACGCCGCTTTAGTACGCCACTGGCACGCCTGCAAAAGACCTTTCCAGTTGGCTAAAGAGCTAGTATCCACAGCAAAAAAGGCCTGTTTGTGCTTGCAGATGGTGCTACGTTGGGCACTGAGTTTAAGCACTGCGCACTGCAAATCACGGCAAGCAGCTCTTGTTGGCATTTCCAGGCGCTTGGGCCGCGGCACCCAGAAAGCTCGGATATTGCGTATAGAGTTCAACAGCATCTACTGAGCTCTGCTATTCAGTATTCTGACTCTACTGAAGCCTGCAATATCAATTGTCTGCGTAAGATCAGGGACTGAGGGAGTAGCTCACCAAACCATGTGTGAAGATTGGAGGCGTTAGCAAACGTTGTCTAAGATTCTGATGTCTTGACACATACAATTTCAAATAAAGTTTTGCGCGGGGTCGCCAAAAGCGAACCTGCACTTGCCTCTTTTAGAGGTCTGCACGTGCTCGAGCGTGGTGGCCCACGCACACGTGGCTGAAGCAGTTGAGAAAAAAAAGGCTAAATTGAAATGCACCGCCATGGCAACGCCGAAATATTTAGTGGGTGTATTACGAAATACACATTCATGCCTGTATATTCCATAAACACCTGGATGAGGCGGGAGGAGGCATGGGCCGAATCCGATCATTTTTGATGCGGCCGGTGGGTTGTGATCGCGATGGATTACAACAACGGAAAAATATGCCTTGAAGCAAACGCGTCAAAAAATATTGGTGATCAATAAAATATAAAATATGCAACTTTACTTGAATATTTTACCCCAAATCTGGCATGTGAACAAGGTGGCCCATCGACCTACGTGCAGGTGCATCCCCTACAGAGTTTCATTGCAAACCGTGGCTAACTCTTCAGATACACCTCGAGAAAAAACCCTAAGCTGCACCAGCCAACAACCCTTCGTATTCAACTACGAACAGGAATTCATGCTTGGCCGCTTCCTGCTTGCCTCAGCGAAGAAAACTGTGGGATCCGTCGCACAAGGGAAGAATTATTTACTGCTGACCTTCCATTAGCTGCGTCTAAGGATAAGGAGCCTTCAGTAGAGCCCACCCTTTACTTGTCCTCAACCTAGGTGCTGGACTCTAATTAGTGTCTCCGCATCTTAATCCTTGACCCTCAAACCCGCCTAACGTTCTCCACTTCTGCCACATCCCCTCCCACTTCGGTTCCAGTTCAATATGTTGTGGTAGAGACCTCCAGTTCAGCCACTAACGTCAATACGTCCCTTACAGTCTTCACTGGGAAACGTCCATGAGCCAATCTGGCTCTTGCGCCGATGAAGCTGATCCCATATATGTTTCATGGTGTCGTCACTGGCTAAAGGACAAGAAAAGTCTGAAGAAGCAAACTAAAAAGGATTGAAGAAGGCCTGAGGTATGTCTTGGCTACGCATTTGCGGCTCAAGAGGCTGCATCGAATCTGAGACCTAACACCGATGCACTAGAGTTCGGCTTCCAAGCCAGTGGCCTCTTGATATTTGGTGGACTATGCGCTCGCCTGTGTTTTGGGCTTGATGGATTTGAGCCATTCGGTGGCGTCGTTTCTCCAAGGGTCCCATCTACTGCTCAGGAAGTCCGTCGGCATGGATGACATGAATAAAGAAAATTTCAAGCCGATCACAAGATGCAAGGGAGGCCTTTTCCCCATCATATAGTAATCCAACGCAACCCGTAGAGCCTTTACTAAGGGATAAGCCCAAGGCTTCTTGCCGAGTTTTCTTTTGTCGAATGTACCGATGTACCCCGCATCTCGTATACGACGGACTATCCCGGGCCACCACTCATCTTTCCTAGCGCTCTGTCCTAGCACTTCTGCTGCGCAGTGTAGCGTATCAAGAACAATAAAAGCCCTTCCCAAACTTTCAATGGCAAATGGACCTGTGACATCAACGTGCATGAAACCGGATGCGTAACCGCACAGGCGCTCCGTGTGGCACACAAGTTCGCCGAACTCCTCTGTGGTCAGCCATGGCTTCTTCAGCAGGTACCTGCACTTCGAAAGCAACAAAACGATGTTTTGTCTCCACGTACGGTAGCACGCTGCGTACGCATCGCTGAAACTCCTCCAGTTGAGCCGTAGCTGTGGTCCAGGGTGACGGTAAAACGGGTGATTTTCGAGGACGTGATCGGGAATTCCCCTTAACATTTCTTCGAATCCCTCAACCGCAGCCTGCAGTTCCTTGACTGCGGATCGAGTCAGCTCAGATGTCAACTGGGTAAAGCATACCACAGTGAAAAAAGTTCATGCCACCTCCATGGAATTTCCAATAGCAATGCAACACCCACTATCACCTGTGCTCGGTCGAAAGCTAATGATGAGGATACGTGTACAATAACAGACACATCCAAAAATATTCTTAGCTGGCGGGTATCGCGGCATAGAAAAAGGCCCACCTGTTCAGCTGGTTCCCCTGAATGCACCGCAACATCGGTCTCCCTTCCTGAAGGAGGATGGTCACTAGAAGCCGATGACAATAGGCTTCGAAGAGAAGATGATTCTAGAACGCCTGCTGCCCTTCCGCTCTCAGGATCAGTAGACGTCGAAGACATGCCAGGGGATACGTCTGCTGGTTCCTATTCCACAACACGCATATGTTCACATAGGAGCCCACCCTTCATCACGACAAAACCACAATCGGGCAACTGCAGTTTGATGGCTCTAGGCAGCAGGCAAAGAGTCCTTCAGTGTATTCGGATGTCATACCAGAACTGCATCCAAGTGAGAGTCATGGATTAATCTTTTAGAGCTGGAAGATGCCCCCACATACATTTCGCCTTTGTAAGGGCCAGCCGATATTTCCACGCGAGATCCTGCCCCTTCCTGACTTTCTCCACTACTACCTAACAACATTGAAGGCGTCGCTCGGGAGTCTATCAGGCCCAGTGCCTCGTCCACAACCTCCGCATCGCCACTCGACAACCAATCATCTGCGTAGAGACCCGGAGTGCTCTGGCTGGCTTCCGACAGCACCGATTCGAAAAAGCTCGACGGACTCGTGGCGGGCGGGTCACTGCTATCCAGAGTGGATACGCTCCCAGGTAGGAGTGAAGTCGGCATTTTGGCTGTTGGCATAGGTGCATCGAGGCTCTGCTGGCCAGCAAACACTTCCCTAGGCGCCGCATCTTCACTTTCCAACGTTGAGGGTGTCAAGGGGGTGATGGCATCGTCAAGGAGCCATGTGTCCCCGTACAACACGCTTAAGTCTTCAAATAAGATGGAATCAATAAGTGAATCGAGTTCCGGGTCTAGCGGGGGTACCGATGTTCCCGGAAGGCCCTGCTGAATCGGTGCCTCCAATTTATTCTTCTTGGCCTCCCTACCTACAGCGTCTTTTCCCCTTTGTTTCCTCTTAGACCGCCTCGGCCATTCCATTGTTCGTAGCTGCGGTTTTGCTGCACGGGAAGGGCGTTCGACGGGAGCCGCCGTTACACTCTTCGCATACGGCGGCGTACGATAAGCAGTTTCGGAACCGGCATGCCAGCGTGCGGCATGAAGACGCCCTTTTGAACTTGGGATAGGAAGCTCGCTAGCTGTCAGTTGTGTGCTTGAAATGGCTTCTTCGTCCGTGTGTGTGATGCACGATCCCGACTCGCCGCCTCCTTCGCCATCCGTTCCCCCGGCGAGTTTGCGCCCAAATAATCGCTTGGATATTCTCGATCGAAATGACAAACTGCAAATGTAGACGAGGAGTACGAGAACTGACACTGAAACGAATGCAGCAGGCAGTGATAGTGCCCTAGTGGCTGGCACTGCATTGCACGGCCTGTGCCCCCTGTACGAGGGCACATCTTTCACATCTCTGTTGTGGTTTCCGGTTGGTGGGTCTAGATACAATTGGGAGGTGTTGTGATACACTGCAACAGGCTTCTCCTTCAGCAGCCAGTTAGCTGCCATTTATCCTTTGTTAGAGTTTCGCCGAACCAAATTGCTGAAAAAGAATTGAGCCACACGTGCCCCAGGCAGTGAAATACCTGAAAACTTAAACTATTGGGAGCGAAACTAGGGATCAATTGCCAAACTCAAAGAATGAGACGAAAATAATATTGGGGAGGTGAATATTCCCATCATCAGAGGAGCAATCGCTTGCCTGCGCAGCAACAAGCAGGCTATATTTCGAATTCGAGCGCAACACCACCGTTGCCAGGTTGCAAATCACTGACGCCGAGACACACAGACATTTGAAGAGGTTCACAAATCCTGGCCTGAATGCTTAAAATCAAAATAGAATGAAAAATTGTGGCAAATATTAGGAATAGTATTCTCCTTTGGCAATCGACATCGCAGGCTTGAGCCTTGCTGCTCGCTTTCGGGTGTACACCACCTGGCTCAGGAGCCATGAGGGTCGCAGCATGAGACCAAAACAGTGATAGGGAGAATGCAGCAATGAATATTTAGGATTTCCGTAGCAAATTAGTGTCTATAATTTCATTAAAATTGGTGTGTCGGAACGTTTATACAGTCGTCTCGCGTCGGTGCGATGTGACTGCCTCCAGCACCACATTGCCAGATGCACGCAACGGCTAAAGGTTAGCCTTTCCCGTGCACTGAAGGAAGGAGCAAATTGAAGACAGGCATTTGCTCAGTTTTACTGTAAGCATTTTAAATCATGTAAGCTGGATCTTCCGGCTTCTCGGTACGCTCACGAAGCGAAACCGGCGACGCTGTCTCCTTATCACGGTTTGTCAACTCCGGACGTGCATTCCTCCTTGAGACGAGACCGGCTACTGAGGGCTAAATCAGTGTTTGAGAGTCATTTGCCTTGCTATTACATGCATTATACTGTGCCGCCGGTCATGCTAGCTTGTGGGGCTGCCGTGCAATAGTATTTACAATGTAGCATGGTATTGTAACGCGGATACTGGTTCATATCCGAGGACTATTCTCAGAACTAAGGGAGCCAGAGTGGAGCCCAAATACAAATGTTCCGTAAGACCAGAAGACCGTTTTACCAGTATCATGGTTCCATGTACTCAGCTGATCAGGGAGAGGAGGCGGCGTGCAGTGACTTGGAACGCCCCGTGCTGCAAGCAAGGTGGAAGACGGCCCCACGTAAAAGCGTGAAGAAGTCTTCTTGGCTCTATTAGTGAACACTGTAAACCATTGCTGAGGAATTCTGCTTGCCTACCGCCTCTTTCCTAGGGCCGGGTAAGGAAGGTGTCACGCTCTAACATCAGCCAGATCGGCCGACGTCGGGTATGTTTTGCTACCGGCAAATCGTCTCCGCAGGTAGCACATAAGCCCATACTATGCAGCAGCAGGCAGGCTGCACCCAAGTAGGAACCTTTCAAGCCCACAGAAGTCCCCACCGTTTCCCTACAAATTTAATTCACGCATCAAGGAAAACCTGGCTGTGCCTGAATGTGGGTATGCCTTCCTGCGTGGGCTGCAGCAAGGAATGCCTCACTGCATGTACCCTCCTCTCTCGCAGCTCCACGCTCTACGGCAGCTGCGTTCAGGACACTGGGAGTGGAAAACGTTTCTTGCGGAGAAATCAGAGAAGAGGCTCCAATGAAGTGCAAAGAAACTGAGGGGGATGGCGGAGACATGAATGCAGCTAATTCCAGTAGTCGTTCGAAGACGTAGGCTCTGGGAATTCGGTCCAGTTACCACCAGAGGGACAGCACAAGTGCCCATATTTCATGGACGAATTGCTACATGCATTGAATAACAGTACACTGCCAACGGACTGGCCTCCGTAAAAGCGCCCATTGCATTGTACCTAACTCACAACTATTGCAGCCGCAGGCTTTCTTCCAAGTAGGCTGCGACCTTGCTTCTTGGAGAGGGCACTAAGGGCCATGCAAGCGAAATACTGAGCAACGGTACAGTCCAAACTTCAGCTAGTGCGCTTGAGCACATTCTGGCAATGTCAAAGCAAAAGAAGGGCATGTGGCAACTGCATGGCGTTTCAAATCCCTCAAAATGATCACGGTGAAACAGGAGTCGCCGATGCTCCATTTCGACAAGCTGATTCACCATCTGCAAGGTTCAGGTGTATAACAAACTTTTAATTTACTGATGCATCCCTACAGATTCTAATTCATCCTTGTAACATGCACAATAATGCGCTCCATATCAACACTTGAAACGTGGAGTACGTGTGTTTGGCATTGGGGTCGCGATTGCACCTTTCGCACTGCAGCGAGACGTCAATAGCGACGTGTTGGGCCCAACTACGGAGGGGTGGAAGGTTATATGCATGGATGGCATGCTTGTGTTCGGCCGGAATGTGCAGGAGTACCTACAGCGCCTGCAGCGTGCTCTGCAACTGCCACTGCCGCAGCTGTGGTCCGAGAAAGCACAAGAGCAATAGGTAGAATATGCAAACAGTCAGCTTCATGTCTCGGCAGCTAGGATCGAACCAGACCGGATGAAAACTGAGCCCATTCGGAGGTGGTCCCTTTCCTTATACGCTCGATTCGACGCTCACAGATTCATCGGTCTCGCATCGTAGTCCTGGAACTCCATTCCTAGCTTCGCTGGCGTCACCAGGAGGCTAACGGATCTACACAAATAGACAAATAACCCATTTGGAGGAGTAATTGGAACGCCACGGCATACAACAGGTTTTGCATATGTGGAAAGGGTCTTCCGCGCAGCTGCTTCAACACCAGATCTTAATCTAGGCTCTGGAGGCGGTGCTGTGCAAACGCGAAATGATAAGAGCAGCAGAAGCAGCCGATGCAACATCGGCTGAAAAACAGCAGGAAGAAGTCCCAAGTCAGTGCAGCATCTTGAGCGATTAAACTGGCGCACGAGGGCCTGTGACGTTCTCAAGATGGGGTGGGTGCTGTTGCTTATTGATGCTGCCAAATGTGTCTGGTATCAGCACGTGGACTCTTACTCAGCTTTATTAGCTAAACAATGAGAGTGCAATCGTCTTCAAGAATGGTCCAAACTGCTTATGTAAACAGCCGGGAAGGCCTAACTTTGCTTGCATATGGTGTTGCAGCTGGATGCGGTGAAAGTAACGCAAGGACGCCACCTTTCCCGCAGCCCCAGGTGCTTGGCCGCTAGGCGGTGGAGGGTTTAAAACCAGATGGCAGATACTCTGATTTTGATGGAGTCTCTTGAAGTATTCTGGTTGCAATGCAGATCGCAGTATTCCTCTCACAATCGAGAAGCATCGTCGCACTACAATATGCTGAAAGGCTACCCAGATCACTTTTGGTTCAACTAACACCATGAAATTTGTAAACATTTTGTAGTTGACAAATATAGAGCCTTCAACCGAGTTGAAGTGTATTTACCATCGCCAGACAGAATGTACAGAGCAGGCTCCCCAGGTTTGTCCCTGTGGACAGCGCTTAGCTTTACTCAGGCGTCCATACAGACAACAAATAAGCCTGAAAATCGCCTAAAAACGTAAAATATAGAGAAACTGTAATATTAATTAAAATAACTGAAGGGATAGGGGTTCAAATGCACGTTGACGGCCCCAAAAGACCTTGCCCCAGGAAGGGACGATTCCGGCGGGAACGCGGTCGCCCCGCCAGACTAGGCTGGAGGAACAGCGGAACAGCGAAGAGTCCTCTTAAGAAACCTCAGTAAAAAGGGAAGTCGTATGAATTTTTTTGTAATATACTAGAAAGAGGTGTAAACTGAATGGTTTAGAGATTGGGAGTGTAGATACTGCGCCCTCTCTTTACCTTAAGGTTCACGAACGAATTGGAAATGCAGATGGGGTCTAGTAAGGACTGGCGGTTTGGCGGCAGGCAATCTGTGGGCCTTTTCTCTACCTTTTATGTATGCTGTCTGCGTTGGAATCGTTTTAGAATATGTTTGCTTGCAATATGAAGACAAAGGATTTTTGCCTACGGTGCATGCAAGCGGCTGCAGGGCAACTAGCTTAACAGCAGAGGGGAGGCGCTGCAGCCCAACGTGGTGGCTCACGGTTTATCCCAATTCCCCGGCCACTTTGTAGAAAAGGCACTAAATGGTTATTTTCTATTTTCATTGTTAATGTTCTTTGTTGCTCTACGCCGTCGACGCGCCAATGCTGTCGGAGTCCATGCACGAAACCAGTGCACGATCCAGTTGAGCGCTGTGGGAGGTATGAGGGAAGGGGTTCCGTGTCTTCACCACGGCGTGAGCGAAGCGTCAAGTAAAAGAGCCTGTCGTCATCCTAGTAAATCCCTTCTATCTTTGAAGCAGGTCAATAGATGCTCCTCACCGTGGACATGCTGCTTCATGCAGCCCTCCCCACGCAGGGACGATGTCCTGCAACCATGTTTCTGACGTTCTAAGCCGAACAGTATTTCCCTTGCCATCGTATCAACTTCAGCGTTCGTAAGGGAGCAACAGTGATCCTTATTGCATAGACGCCTAAATATGCGATTCGTCCGGTGAGAAGGCTGTATGTGTGGTACTTCATGGTGCCAGACTCGCAGCATGGGGGGACCCCCTTTGAGTGGAATGGTTCTTTTGAACATGGAATATCCACAAGTTTCAAGGGGCAAGGTACTACGCATCAAAAATATGGGGTTCAAAGACGGGTTAGTGTCTCCACCACGACGCAACCAACTGGCGCACAACCACTGCTAGCAGCGATTGCTGCAGTGTTGGCCGTCATATTTCTTGTCTATTTGTGCAGCGTGTCAATCGAAAGGAGGATAACTGGTCGCTCTTTCAGTCGCAGGCTGGCTGCTAGCTGGGGTGGCGATGAATGTGACGAATCCCAGTCAAGCAGCCCATACTCACTTACAGACTCCTCCTCAAAATCAATACCGGCTATGGCTACACAAGTCGCTTCTGATACTAAGGGTGAGGATTCCCAGGAATCTATCTCCTCAACGGATACTCTGACTAGGAGGCCGAGTAAAACGACTACGGGACATAGGGCACTACAACTAGATCAGAGGGAGCGGAGGGGCTTAAAGAGGAGGGGAAACGAACAATCCGGCATAACGCTTAGGACTAAACAACTTAGATTTGTGCAACCGAATGAAGGGACCCCGTTGCTGCCTCCGGCCCCACTCGATCCATATCTCGATTCACTGATTGACTCAATGCTGGCTGGTGAAGAAGCGTCGATCTCTGAAGAGTTTTGGCTCTCCGACGACTTGCCGACTTTTATTAGAGGTGACGCTTTCATAGGTGCAAAGCCCTCAGGAAAAGGAGGCGGAACTGAGTTTCTGGACGAGGCTGTATCGGCGCGGGATGCAGAGCCACTCGTGCACTCAGCGCCCCCCAGATTGCCCGGAGACCTTATTAAGCCCACAGAGGAGAGAAGCGCAGCGCAATCGCCTGCTGACAACTCAGGGAAACAAATGCAGCAGATACAGCATTCCCGAGCTGAAGCTTTGCATATTGGGCCTTTGTCCGGTACATCAGAGGTGAGGCGTTTACCTCTGACAGCAACAGATTGTTGCCTGCCACTAGTGCATTCATGCCATATTTCTGTGGCGTGTATTGCCATGGCCCCATTGTGGAAAGCTAGCTGCACCCTGTTTAATGTGTGCTGCGTATCAACAGCCGGGAAATGGCCTTTTTCAAGCATTAACAGCGGAAGGGCATGTGAGAGAAGGAATTGCCGCCAGCTTTGAAGAGTCAGTTGCGAGCATCTTGCCGCATTTGTACACGGCCACAAGTGCCTCACGGCCGCTGTCATGGGCACTAGCGCTGCCTGATTCAGCTGGACAGGTGCGAGCTTCTGCCTAACATGGCAGCGCAGCATACTTGTATGCTAGAATCCACTGTTCTCACCTAGCAACTCCAGTAGTAGCCTGTGTCGTTTACGAGTCTAGTCGGTGCCGGCTCATTTTTGAAGCTACTGAAGTGTAGTGGGTTTTGTGGAAATGCTGCGTTTTGTGTGCTTCCTCCAGTCAGCATCGGGGATAGGCCTGCCTACAGGTTTTAAAGTCATTTCCTACGTCGATTGGCTCGATAACTTGTTCCCAGGGATTCCTGATAGCATACTCAGAACGCATCCATTCTACCGTTACCCCGAAAACAACCCAGCCCTGGGCAGTAGGTCATTTAGTACGCCTGTAGCGGCGTCGTTTGCTAAAACCCAAAGGACATCCAGCTTGGAGATTTCTAAGTGCTGGAATATACTGAAAAAGCCGTCGCTCACATCCATGGATGTCGATCAACTTTTAGCCCACGCAGAACGTTTGTGTGGATATGCATGCGGGAGCATGAAGGTATCCAGACGACGTGCGCACGCGTCGTCTGCCATAGACACTCTGGGAACGGCTTTTCTTGTTATGGATACGCTGCACTGTGCAGCAGAAGTATTGGGTGACAAGTCGATGAAGGAGTCGTGGTGGCCTTGGATGGTAAGTCATATAGAAAGTGCGAGCTACGAACCCAGGAGAGATTTCGTGACGATTGGAAAGCGCTCTAGAAATGTAGATGTTGCAAGTACTCTCCACGTTGCGCTTGACTTCTATAGAAGAGGCCTCCGGGCTCCACTTCGCATGGTGATCGGCCTGAAGGAAGCGTTGCTTTGCGAACCGGGTGCGTCGTCTAAGTTCAAGGCGGAACGATGGAACCCATGGAGAGAAGACGCTGCAAGGTGGCGTCGGTCCATCGAGCCGAGTCTGAGTTGGCACAAGTAGTCAATATAAAGCTTGACTATAAAGGTTGAAGAGGCGCAAAAGATGAAATGATTATTGAACGCGTGAGCACAGCTGTGGCCATGCTCATATTTGGGGCCTCATGTTCCCTGTGGCCTAGCTGCAGCGCCAGGAAGGAATATTGCGTGTGGACCTCATCTTCGTGTGGCATTTACACTATTTTGAAGAACTCAGGTGCCTCTTGATGTAAAGCAAATGCAACGAGTAGAAGATGTGCACGCGCAGCGCTGCCATCGCGTCCTTGCATGCGGCGCTGTATTTCGCCTTGCGCTTGTGGATATTGATGGCCAATTAAGAACTCGAGCGCTATCAACAGTTTCCGCGGAAGGCTCACTTCGCCTCTTGGTACCAGATGTCGAGTTTGACATGGCTGCATGCGGTCTTGCCATGCAGCAAGAGTTGCGAAAATACGTGTAGCAATCTTTTTCCAGAACATCGCTTGTCTTGGTCAGCCACTGGGACTTGAGACAGCTATGGTATTGACGCCAGGACCCTAGCAGGAAGGCCAGCTGCTGTAAGGGAAGTCTTATCGTGTGTGGTGTAACCATACTCAAGCTTATACATGCCCTTAGCTAAAGGGAAGGAATCTGGTGACAGGTGCAGATGACCGCAGGGATCCTGATTCTATTTCCTAAGGACCTTAGCAGGCAGCAATATAATCGTGGATTTTTGACATGTATTCACCAAGTGCAGATGACTCACTTTAAGCCTCCAGGCCTCCAGTGCACAGGGCCAATGGCTTGGGAATCGTGCGGAAAGAAGGCCGCCATTCACGAGCAGTATGTGCCTTGCCGCAGCCAGTGCTGCATCGAGTTATCACGTTGAGGCACAGCTAAGCCAACTGGACATCCCAGACTGACACTGCATATGGTCTATAAACATTTGCCTAGCCCTCAATAGCCACCGCGCCAGGATGTAAAAATACGCATACTAAAATTAGATAGACCAGCCTCTATTGCTGTGATATTTAAAAACCTCTTGCAAGTCATGCTTTGTTTCGAGCATGGAAGGCAACGTTTTGGATCACATGCACCGGCTTCGGTGATTTGGAGGTGGTCGTGCTATTTTCGACGTGCCACTTCAACTTTTCCCCAATAATGCACCATAAGTGTGTTCCTTTGGTGGAATCTGTCACTTCCTGGGCGCTAGTGGGTTCTTGATGGGAGTACGAATACGGATACCAACTTCGGGGAGAGCGCACTGAGGGGTGGTGACACAGGCACTACAATGGCGCTCAGGCGTGGTCTCCAGAGGCCTCCTATCATGGATAGGAATGGGTACTAAGCAATATATGAGGAACTATGACCATACTAGACAGAAAAGCAGCATAAGGGGATCAGGGTTCTTGCCAATGGGCACCCACCTTGGGGCTGAGTGCGAGGCTGTCGCTGTGACCCTGGTCCCGGCACTCGGCGAGGGTCGGGCATCAGCACTATTATTCTGGGTTTTCTTTGGGACCCATATTTGGAACTCGATCGAAATTATGGTTGTTATTGTATTTTTCAGAGTTTGTAGCGACAGTCGAGGACTAGGAGCAAGATTATAGCGTGTGCACCTAGTTAGTTTTATCTGGAATAACGTAGTGACAGCGTAGGGCCAGCTGAATTCACTACAAGTAGGCCGTGAAGGCATCAGCTTCGGACCTTCGCAAGAAGCAATAAAATGCAACTTCTTTGATTCAGAAATGTTTAGAATGACCACTAGACATTGCCAGTCCTCAGTTGTTTAGGGGCCTCCTCCGACGTTTCACAATATGGCGCATCGGATCAATCAACGAATATCGCCGATTGTTGTTCAATATAACTAAGTTGACTGTGCCATAGATAGATATTGATTCTGTTTCGATTCTGTATAGTGCTTTCTTCACTCTCTGCGTGAAGTCTTAAGACCCTCGAGTGTCCCTGTTACACGCGGGGGAGAGCACCACCTCCAGCTTCCAGTAGGCTACGGAAGGCGTAGGTTCACATAAATGGTGCACCCAAAACCAAAAGGATACGGTTCTTACCACTAATGTAACCCTAATCAAGTTTATAACAGATAAACGTAGTCCAGTCAATATACGTGATCAAAAATGAGATTTCAAATACATCTGAACCCCCTGATCACCCTCTAGAGTGTGTGAAAAAAACCAGCGGCGCGTCTCGGCCGCGCCGCTGGCACCTTCCTCAGCTCGTAACCTCGGCCGGCTGCAGGGCAGTCGCGACATTATCCCATAATTTGATTCTAAAGTGAGACATATCCTAGATTATATTTCTAAATTGATGTTCTTTCCTAATACTGGCTTCTAGGGGCCTTACGGATGGCCCTTTGCAGTGCCAGCAAACACCACCATAGGGTGTTCGCGCGTCCCCGGCTTGCAGCACAGAATATGCTCAGTAGTCTTTGGCTCGCAAATATTCACTTTAGGATAAGCCAATCCCTTCAAGCGGTTTTTCCTGGTATGGTGTATGTTATTTTAACCCTGCAAATCTGGACATCGGCATAGTTCGTGGGATTTGAAATATTGGAGGGCACCTGTTGAGGGCACCTTTTGCGGGCGAGGAAAGAGATTCAGTCGTACAGGACGGGAATGCTGTTTTCTTCAAATTTAATTGTTGTAAATTAATGATTTGGTTTCCTATAAGTGCAGCCATCGAGCACCAGTTTTGCATTTTCCCACGCGAAGTTTCCGACATAAAACGAAAAACGCGCAGGCGGGGCTCCTCTGCACATACTGAAGGAAGTACTGTTTCCCTCTAATTTATTGATTGTGCTTTTGCCTGTCTTTACTGAGATCTACCTTTTTTCTATGCGAGGTTCCAGCCATTCAAACGACGGCTGTCTCGGCAGCTGTGTCTTATATCTATACAAGTAGCTTGGCGAGACTCCACACACGACTCTATGGCGGATAGCTGGCTGGTGAGCGAGAAACCCCTTGCATTTCATCCTGCCACCTCCAAAGTGTATTTAAGCGTACCTCCCAGAAACAATAACGGAGATGTGAAAGATGTGCCCTCGTACGGGGGGCACAGTCCCTGCCATGCCGTGCGAACCTCCAAGACACTATCACTGCCCGCAGCATTCGTTTCAGTCTCAGTTCTCGTACTCCTCGTCTACCTTTGCAGTTTATCATTTCGGTCGAGAATATCCAAGCGATTGTTCGGGCGCAAACTCGCCGGGGGAACGGATGGCGAAGGAGGAGGCGAGTCGGGGTCGTGCACCACAGACACAGACGAAGACGCCTTTTCAAGCCCACAGTGGAAACCTAGAGAGCGTCCCATCCCAAGTTCAAAAGGGCGTCTTCATGCTGCACCCTGGCATGCCGGGTCTGAAACTCCTTATCGTACGCCGCCGTCTGCGAAGAGTGTAACGGCGGCTCCCGTCGAACGCCCTTCCCGTGCAGTAGCACCTCACCTACGAACAATGGAATGGCCGAGGCGGTCTAAGAGGAAGCAAAGGGGAAAAGACGCTGTAGGTAGGGAGGCCAAGAAGAATAGACTGGAGGCACCGATTCAGCAGGGCCTTCCGGGAACATCGGTACCCCTCCTAGATCCGGACGTCGACTTGCTAATTGGAGATGGGAAAACCTTATCCGCTGACGTGTGGCTTCGTGGTGATGCCATAGCCCATTCGACACCCTTAGCACTGCACGTCGAAGATGCCGTGCCGATGGAGGAGTATGTGGGCCAACGGAGCCAGACTGTGCTTATGCCAACATCGAGAATGTCGCCTCTAACGCTAACGGGGAACCTGTCCACTCTGGATAGCACTGGCTTGACCTCCATTAGTCCCTTGAGCTTTTTCGAATCAGTTTTGTCGGAAACCAGCCAGGCTAATCCGGGCCTCCACCCAGATGAATGGTTGATGAGTGGGGAAGCGGAGGTTGTGGAGGAGGCATTGGGTCTTATAAATCCCAACACGACACCTGCGCTGTTAGGTAGTAGCGATGAAACACAGGAAGGGGCAGAATATCGAGGGAAAGTATCAGCTGGGGTCACGGAAGGCCAAGTGTATGCAAGGGCACCTTCCAGCTATAAAATGCCAAAAAGTGACTCTCTCGTGGAGGCAGTTCAGGTGGGGCGCCCGAATGCACTGAAGGACTGTTGTCCTGTCGCCTCGAGTTATCAAACTGCAATTGCCCGATTGTGGCTTTGCCGTGACGAATGATGGGTTCCTGTGCGCTATATGCGTGTTGTGGAGTAGGAACCAGCCGAAGTATCGTCTTCAATACCTTCAACTTCTACTGATCCTGAGCACGGAGTGGAGGCAGGCGTGTTAGAATCATCCCTCCTTCGAAGCTTATTGTTATCAACTTCATCTGGTAGCACCCCGTCTTCTTCAAGGGCTAAGACTGAAGCGGCGCTGATGGTAAGCTGATCAGCTGAACAGGGTGGCTTTTTTCTATGCCGCGACACCCGCCGGCAAAGAGTACTTTTGGCCGAGCTTGAGCTTGTCGCCTTTATGCTTCTTCATCAATATCCTTAGCTCTCTGCGTAGGTGAGTTAGTAGTGATTTCTGCATTGCCAATGCAAAACTTGCAGTGGGGTTGGACTGCTAGTTGTCATTGTTTTGCGCTTGCGTAGGTGGTATCTCGACGGGCTCATGATGCAACTGAGACCCTCTTTGCTTCTCGTGGTTGGCTGGAAGCGATGTTGAGGGGTGTTTCTGATCAGCTTCTCAGAACGCATCCGTTCCACCGTCTTCCTGAAGTAGAGCCAGAGCTTCCCAGGCATCCCTTTAACGAAGATAAGGCAGCAGGATTTCGTCGTAGGAAACAAAACGTAGTCTGGCTGCTTTCGGCATGCAGGCACCTACTGAAGAAGGAGCAGTTGACTAGCGACGAATTGGGAGCGCTCATGAGCTATACGGAACGCCTGTGCGGATATGCAACTGGTTCCATGCCTACCTACAGCACCTCCAAAGCTGCGATTGACATACTGGGAAGGGCTTTTATGGTTCTCGATACGCTACACTGCTTGGCAGAGGTGCTGGGAAGCAGCGCTAGGAAAGAGGAATGGTGGCCCGCGGTAGTCCGCCATATAGAAAATGCAGGGTATCGCGGAACGTCCAAGGAATATGTCATGGGGAAAACGTATTGGAGCTCCCCTGTAGTAAATGCTCTGAGGGTTGCACTTGACTACTACAGGGTAGGGACAAGACCTCCTCTGCGTCTTGTGGTCGGCTTAAAGCTGGCAATGCTTCTATCACCCAACTCTACGGGATTCAAGGAGTCCAAATGGGACCCTTGGAGAGAGGATGCCTTGCAGTGGCTGCAGTCCATCAGGCCAAGCGCACAGATAAATCTTAACAAGCAAACAGTCGGCATCTGACTGGTTTTGACGGCTGAGCACCAAGGAGGCACAGATGTAAGCCAAGTCTCACGTTTGCCGCAGTCACAAGAGCCTCAACTGCAGCACTGAGACAGCCCGCACTTAGATTGTCGGCTGGTTTTATTCGGCTCAACTTGGCTTCGGAAATTTCGCGTGCTCAAATGATCTAGAATTACTGGGATGAAATATTCAAGAACCAGTGTCACTGGCGTGGGGCTGTGGGTCCAGATTGGCTGGAATGCATCCCCCGGCTAGAAATGTAAGGAATAAGGCGACGTCAGGGGCTGAATTAGGGCTGTTTATCACAAGTTATTCAACTACAACCGAAGTGGCAAGGGATTTGGATTAGGCGGAGAGACTTGGGCCTGTTTTAGTTTCAACTATAAAAATGCGGCAATTTCCAACCAGAGGCCATAAGCAAGGTTCAGGAGCAGATAAATAGGAGCGCTACTGAATTGTCTTCCATAGACGCAGCGAATGGAAGGCCAAAAGTCAGCATTGCTTCGTCTTCGCGAGGCACCAAGCGGTCTCCCTCGCTGAGACAAGCGGGAAACTTAGTAAATTCCCCTTCGCAATTTGGTGCAAATTCTTTTTGGATGGTGTTCCTTTGATGGGTGGGATTTTATATCAAGTGCATCTGAAGAGCTAGCCGGGGGTCGCAATGAACCTCGGGCACGCTGGCGTTCTGGGGACTCATGCACGTAGATCGGTGAGTCTGCTTGTTCGCAGCCCAGAATATGGTGCAAAACATTCAAGTAAAGCTACGTATTGGGCATATTTCATTGATCACAAACATTCTTTGACGGGCTTGCTCCAAGGCGCATTTTTCCGTTGTCGTAATAGACGGCGTTGCCAACACACCGGCTTGCATTATATGACCGGAGTCGGCCCTCGGCGTCGCCTTCCTCAACCACGCGTCTATGGAATAAACGGCAATGAATGTGTATTTCGTAATAAATCCAATAAAAGTTTCTGCCTTGCCTCGGCGCTGCACCTCAATCTAGCTGGTTTTTTCGCGATTGATTCAGCAGCCGTGTCCGTGGGTGTCCGATCGAGAGCACTTGCAGACATTTGGACGGGGCACGTGCCCTTTCGCGTTAAGCCGACCTCTGCAGAACTTTATTTAAAGTGCCCTGCAGAACGATATTGAAAGCTTAAACAATGTCCGCGAATGGCTCCAATTGTCCCACATTTTGTGGTAGGATCGATCGGTGACTCTGTGGGCAGCTCAGAGTCATCGATCCTATGTAGCCAATATAGCGGGTTTCAATGCAGTTGAATACTTATGAGAGCTCCGCAAATGAATTTTATTGCCTTGACCAGTCTCCAGGTTGTTTGACTTCCTCGGTGCAAGCGCGTGGGAGTGCCAACGAGGGGCTACCTCTCGCAGATTGAGTTTCAGCGGCGCGCACTACACACGACATGAGACTGAAACTCAATCTGCAAGGTAGCCCAAGATGCAAGCACAAGCAAGCCCTCTTGGCTGTATGTACAAGCGCTTTAGTCAATTGTTAAGGGATTCTCCGTGAGTTTCTGTTGCATACGACGGCGGCGTACTAGTTCCTGCGCCAGCTTCAGCCGGACTTATCAGCACCGCACTGAATGCGGTGGAAACTAAGCACAGCTCCTCTCCTTCGTGTTTGGAAACGCGAGCCCTCAATATTTTCCAAGGACTGTTGCGAGTCGTAACATGGCCTAATACTCTAAGTAAGGTTTCCTTAAACCCAGGTGCCCCCCCTCCCCAGTCGCAACTTCCCTAAAATCAGCGGGCGTAGCGCCTGGAGCTGCAAGGGATGAGGTGAGGTGCCGTGAGACTCACTCTTTTCCAGCTCACGCGTAAAGGTACCCTTGTAGGAAGTTACGTCCACCTATTCGTTGCTGCATGAACAAAAAATGTAGGGAATTGTCGAAGACTTCTGCGAGAGTGCATGGTTTCCATTTGTGTGCACGCCGCACACTATGTGCGAATTGAGGGGAGACTGAGCTACAGATGCCTGTCGTTGAGCAAGAAGTACGCGTTCTTGCTGCGTTTCTCAGTCAGTGCAGCTGTCTCTCGGGGGATGCTGCGAACAGCTGAGCCAAACATACAGCAAGAAGTATGTGTTTGGATCATCCAGCTACCTTCGGTGCTCGTCGTATTTCTTGTGGGCTCTTCACTGTGGCCATGGCCTAGCCCACAAATTGCTTCCATGTACTCTGAGAATGGCACGCAGCGAAATGCTGTTGGAGTTCATAATTCCCTTGATAATGTGAAGGTACGTGGTTAGCATGTGGTCGCATGCATCAGGCGCCAGCCCGCAATGGACCGTCGACATACACTAAGCATGATGGTGGCTTGCTTGTGGGACCACTGAGAAGTAATCTCTCCTGGATGTCACTTGAGGATGTGCAAGAACCGCCAGACTGCCAAATCGCTAGCTGCAGTCGCCGTATTGCTGTTCTCACTGATTTCCTTCTTCCTCCCTTGCATTTTTTCCTACTCCTGCAGTTGGTTTTCTTGTTGCCTACCGCAGACGTTGCATCTATCGTTCCTCATGTACTTACTTTTTCCAGGGCCAGTACTCTGTTTGTGTCGGTTGTTTTGGCCCTGATGTTTGCGGTGGTGCAGCATCCTTCTGTGCAGGTGACTTCAGCGAGGGCATTCCGAATCCTGCAGGCTTGGGAGAAGGAGCATTCTGCGTTGCTTGCCTTCTCTGTTGCCTTTTTGATTTCTGTTGGGTGTTGTGGTTTGCTATGCTTTTGTTTTTTTCTTCGAGCCATGGCAGTCATCGATCTGTTCGTCAGCATCCTGAACCTAGACATCTGCCTCTGCATCGTTCTTCTTGTCGTGTCAGTTTCTTTGTGAGGTGTTCGTGTCTTGTCTGCATCACCAAGCGGTTGGATGACTGTTCCTCTTGCACATCAGTGTGGAAGGAGGCACCCGTCCGCCGCATCAGCTTGGAAGGCCGCTGTGCCGCCAGCAGGGCGAATGTAGCTGTATTGGAACCAAGCATTGTACCTCACAGCTGCTGCATCCCAATGTGTTGTCTTTGAAGGTGTGCGCCTTTACCTTGAATGGTCGCTCGTGGTGTTGAGCCGTAGACGTGTAGCGTGTTATATACACGGCAGGACTTGCCAGATGCCTAGCCCTGCTTCACCACCAAACCTGCCTACAGCAGAAATGCCTGCGTCCACATTTTGACACCGGCGCTTTGAGTGTAGGCTAGTGCAATACTAATGAACTTGCCGGCGGAGGTTGTCAACCGTCTAAGCTCGCCTAGAACTTCGTGGGCCTACAATACATACCAGCTCTAGACAGTCCATTCTCGATTTTAAAAGGCATACATAGGCGGTCAGGGAAGCATTATTTGCTTGCGTTGGCTTGACGGAGTTGGGGCAAATGTAGAATTGGTTTCGCCTAGCACTACGCGTTTCCCACCGTCTCCTCCTGCCAGTCTGTGGGAGCCGGAGCATTAGAAGCCAGCTATGAGGCTACTTGCAAAATATGAACCCTACAAACCCACGGCAATCGGCAACTTAAACAAGGGCTACCCTTAAGCTGTGCTGTTCTCGCCCATGTTTCCAGTACTGACTAGTTACACGAGGGACTGATTCTTAGGAGCGATTCCCAGAAACCACCTCGTGTTGCCGTCGCTTTAGCTAAAAGTATAACCGTCTTTTACTTTTAATTGTGTAAACTCTTATTCGAGCCTCGATGAGCTCAGTTTCCTCCAGTTCTTTCTCACAGCGATAGTGCTGGGATATTCCCGGTATAATTCACCTATTCAGGGTATTTCCTGACACGTGTTAGAAAGCCAACATAATTAGTAACCCAACGATGTAGGCCACCATCTGGACGAATAATCCAAACGGCTAAACACAGAGCTAACGCTTCCGGCTGCTGGCTCTCGCTCACTTCGTAGACTGCGCGGGCAGATGTAAACCAGGTCGCCTTGGTTAAAAGTGGTTGCTCATCGTCGCATAGCGCAGTTCCTAGCCCGGCGGTCCTGTGTTGATTTTCTCACGCAATCAAGTTCTACTGCGAGTTGCATGTGAAAGCCTGAAACTGCGGACGTGTGAGTCTAGCTTTCGGAAACCAGGCCTGATGCAGGGGCGGCCAACGATGCTGTGGTGCAGCCTAGGGATGACGAACAGCAACGAGTGGAAGAGTGCATTGATTTGTTATGTATCCATTCCACACAACCAACGAATTCGATGCACGTAGATGATTTTTATGTGGGAATAGAGCGTCAAGTATTCAAGCAGCATAGTCTTCGTGACCGCACCATGACCGTCTTCCTCCAGCTAGTTCGCTGAGGCCAGGTTATTGCCGATGATATACCGCCTCATGATTTCTCTCCAGAAGGCTCTAACGAACTTTCAAGTCCTATCAGTGATCATACTTTTCAGGCAACCTTGAAGTTTTCCAGAGATGATTACTGAACAGTTGTGATGGGGATGAATTGAACAATGCTTCAAGAGCCTGTGGTTCGTGCTATTGCACATTCAGACTGGAGAGCCGCATGCCCTTCATGCATATATCGATTCACAGCGTATCCCGTTTGAGCAACAAATTGTGTTTGACCTGTTGCTCCAGCTAGGCAGGTGCGTTCTCTAGCCCAAAAGGCATACTACACGTAGACACTAACTTGCTAATTCGGGTTTGGGACGCAGCCTTGGGCCTGTCATCGAGATGGGGTGAGGTGTGCAAGAATGCAGGAGAGAAGACAAGTGATGGATATAGTGCTGAGGGCTGCCGGCCTTCAAACAATTTGCTCGTCAGCGGGCACGGAAGCGTGTGTTTCCTCGTTCTCCTTTTGAGAGTCTTGAATTCGATAAGCATGCCCCATTTGCTTTCCGTTTTCTTTACCAACACTAGAACGTGCCAAAATGCACTAGTTTATGGTTGAACTTTGCCGTTTCTTAGCAGGCCGCCACTTGAATCTCAGTATCCCCTCCAAGATGTGGGGGTCTCCGGAAAATTGGACCAACGCTTGGGGCTGCTCTACTTGGGAGCTTGATACAATGCATTAGACCCGCTGATAGCTCATTGTTATTCAGTGGAGTTGTAAGTTATTCCACCAACTATGCCCACGTGTGCTGTCCCTCGGCGGTAACTGGATCGATTCCTCGGAATAAACTTCTTCGTACAACGATAAGGACGGACTGCATGCCCCGTTTCCTGCACCGTCTTTGATTTGCATAAGGACGGACTGCATGCCCCGTTTCCCGCATCGTCTGTGATTTGCGCGGAGCTTCTTGTCTCGTTTCTCTGCTAGACTCGACTTCTACCACCTCCCAGCAATGGATGCAGAGGCTGTTGGAAGCGCCGAGAGGTCCACTTTTTCTTTGTTTTCTACCGCCTACACATCGGTAGTACCGTGATAGTGGCCTGTTCCACTAAGGTGACCAGCGGCAAGCCAAGGAATATGCCTTGTGAATCAATCCGTAGAACGTCCTTAGCATACACATACGACTCATTTGTGAAAGCGCAATGTACACCCAGTCTCTTGCCAGTGCTAATGGCCCGTCTACCAACCACACGGAGTACCCAGCAGAACCTGCTCCAGCGAATGGACTCGAATATTGTATATCATCGCCTCAGTTTAGGTCCAACTCTTTACCTGTGCTGGGTAGCGAGAACAACTCCCTTTTATTGATCTGGGCATGTAAACGCAGAGAAGGATCCCGGTGGGGACCTGCGGGTGAAGCAGTCGCCTCTTTTGGTGCTGGAACTGCGCAGCGCGTCACGTGGAAGCCCCGGCGTTTCCCTAATTGCTTTGTTTATTCGCCTGATGGTGCCATTAAAGACCGTGCATTGCCAGCTTCCTCGCCTTCTCCGAGAGTACGAAATTTTGACTAATGGGAGCTTGCTCGTTGTAGAAGAAGCAAGTGTGCCATTTGATACTTCTGTTTCTGAGTGCCTAGTCCGCGGGTTGCTGTCAGTTTCTGTTTCTCACCCTTTTCTGTGTGGGGCTGGTTCACAGATCCAAACTCGGTAGGCTCAATATCAGGATGCGTTATAAAACCGCCTGCTTCCTCTTCCAATGTAGAATTACATGAGGTGTTTTTCCTCTGTTTTATCCCTCTTTGAACTAGTGCAGCCTGAATAGTCGCAGTATTGTGTGGCTCCATAACCGGATTGTTTTCAAATCCGTCTTCCTCCTTCTCATTTAGGGCTGGGGAAGTGGCATTTTCTGCCTCCTTGATGCATAATTACTTCATCAAGTCTGCGGGTCAACTATTTCACCTCTTAGGTCTCTCTCCGTTGCACGGCTTGTTACCGATTGCCTCCCCCTATGGGTCAATCCCTCAATGAGGCATTGAAATAGACGCTACGAATCAGCCGTCGGATCTCCAGTGGCAGGTCTTTCTGCCTATAATGCTCTACCGTTTTTTTCCTGCTCATCATTCTTCACGTCTGCCACAGGCTGTTCCGTTGCCGACCTACGCGTGAACCTTCTACGTCGCAACGGGTGCCGGAAGTCTTCCATAGTCCGAATGTGCACCCGCAAAGCTGTACCCATGCTGAGTCTCAACCACCATTGTCGTTTCTCCACGTCTAATAATAAGATGCCAATGACGACGTTAGTCTTTCCGGGTTTCGTTTGGGACGAACGCAAAGCCCTAGGGAGTAGCAAAACATCTTCTCCATTGCCCGCTCGTCTCGGAGGCCGCCATATCTAGGCATCCAGCAGCGGCAAAGGCGTCATTCACAAATGGTTTTTGTTGTAAAAGCATTTTCAGTTGCATATCATGCAGCAATTGAGCTTGGAACTTCCAGTCACCGGCCGCCTCCCTACCATTCTGCAGAGCTTAATCAGTATCAAATCCGCCAGAGGAGTAAAAGCCTGTCATTTGACAAGGCATTTGGGGTCGTTTGGAAAATTGTCTTTAATATATGTATAATTGAAGCTCTTTCTGTACTGCTCATGGTTGCTATCCGAGGAGTATTATGAGCTGTAGTATGACGGCTCCGCATCTAAGCACAAGCAGACCTTCTTGCCTGTAAGCATGGAAACTTTATAAAACTGTTGATAACTCCTTCCGGCTCCCCATTCGTCTACTAGAACGGCATGCATGTTCGTGTGCCAACTACACAGAGGCAGGCGAACATCCGAAAGATTGTGCTACGTGGAACACACACTCTTGAGGTAGCCAAGGCACTCTAAACTGGATTCGTTCGCGTTGCGCTGCACCAATGAGACTATTAGAGTCTCCATATCTCAAAGAAGTCCTACCCATTGAATCGCTGACATTTTCTAGCAGGAGTGTGATATGCAAATGTTGCATCCTTCGCCTGCTCATGGCTAATATATTCCCACAGAGACGGAAATTTATTTCACCTCTTTAAGAACCATCGAATAGACGAACCAACTATCCGCATGCCCATCACTACTCTTCCTCTAGGCCTTCGGCAGCAATGTCTTCGTATTTCTCCTTGGGCTCACCTTCTGGGCACTCTTGGGTCCTGCTTCGCTTTGCGGGTATATAGTTATCCTCCTATGCCTCACACAAGGCCCCAATTTTGCGTCAACAAGTTCGCACTGGTCCGGAGTTGGGGCAGAACTCGCGATAGCTCTTGCTGAATATACTTATGCTACTTCACCTGCTGTTCGTTGTGTGTTGTTGGCGGTATTTCTGGGCAGTGCCGACTAATCCCACTAACTATTCCTACCTGTGCAAACTTCTTGGGTCGCCCGTAGTCCCCTGCAGCATGTATACAAACGACTACACCTCTAAAATAGCAACCCAGCTGCAGTGCATGCAGCTCAGCTACTTGCCAACAAAAGAGCATCTGAAAACCATTCGCTCGAACATTTTCTGAGCAACCTCTCCAGCGTTGTAAAATAGCACCTAGTTTCGGAACATCGTTGGAGAATCCAGGAAGTATCGTCAGAGACAATAAAAAATATATTTTCGTAATCTACAGCGATCCGATCGTTGAATCCGAGTAGTCGATCCTCACTGACAACCGTCGCGGGAACCGGCAAGAATCAATAAGCTCGGGAAGAGAATTCAATCCAAAATTATCTTGTTTGCCCTTCAGTACCCGGACCTCTTGGGCACGGCATCATCGAGCCCTAGGTGTTGGAATGGAGGGAAATATCCTGCGAAGTTCTGAAACACACCGTGCTCCAAATCGTGGTGACGAAGCCGTCTTCGCAGCTGCATGCAGTACAACAGCACATAATTGTAGAAGAGGCCCTTATATCTCAGTTTCCACTCTGCACTCATGGAGAAATAACCACTAACTTTAGACAGGCCAAGCAACACGGGCGCTGCCAGGTGTAATCGCTACAGCTCAGTGTAGAGGCACAGGTGCTCTACGCTGAGCCCGAAACCTATTTTTTCCCATTTATTATGTCACCCCTTATAATTTAAAATTGCCACATGTATAGTTCCGACCCATTTTAGCTGTGTCATTTTGCTGCCCCACGCAGAGCGCGCCATTGCATTTTCCTGTGCAGTCCCACCACACCTGAACCTCGTGCACCACTTATTGGATCAGAGCCCTACAGTTTGGCTGTAAACTATGAATATTCCCCCAACCACTTCCTCATTTCATTTTTGATGTTTTATAAAAGCTTGCAAGTACACCTATCACGTGCTGAACGAACTCTCCGTACACCAAGAGTATGGGGATCGACTTCCGTGGTGGGCGGTCCTTGCAAATCAACGTCACGTCGGAGTGTTGTTCATAGCCATTGTGCCGCTAAATTTATGCTTTTTCGACCATATTCGAATTAGGCACCATCTACTGGTACAGAAGGTACATCGTTCGCACTTTTAAAGGGTTAGTTTTTGGCCGTGCATGGTGTCCCGTTGTGAGCGGTCCACCTCAAAGACGTCCAACTGCTAAACAGGCAGTCTGGTGTAGATGATTCAACACTCTCTACCCATCATACCACCTTTTCATACTAGCTGCTATATACGTACTGGCTTTTTCCCTGGGGTTGGTACTACTAACCGACGGACTGAGCGATGAATGTCTCGACCCTCCTCGCGGAACCACCTGGGAATGATCAACCTGATGAGTCTTTGGTCCTCAGTTTGCTGGACAAAGAAAATGTACCTGACAGAAGCCAAAGCCGTCGTTGGGTCAGCTTGCGTCCCCCATCCAGGGCTGGGAGATTCCTCCCTAGGTTTGTGGCACTAGGCGCAGCAGCAACAGCAATGTATCTGATTATCACATGTGCCACCCATCTCACAAAACCAGTACGGCACTGGAAACTTGGACGGGGTTTGGCTTCAGGGGAAGAGTTAGGGGATACTGGGGAAGATGGAAGCAGTGGCAGCATATCGGATTTATGTGGACCCGGACAAACTGCACAAAATGGAGCAGCGCCGCTCTACTCACACACGGACGCGGCACTACAGCGTGTACTTGATGAAATAAGCTTAAGTAAATCGACGACTAATGCTCTCCCCGATCAGCCCGAGCACATTGACGCAAAACTGACGCGTGGCCGGTCAGGCGTGCGGGGACAAGCATCTGCCCGGAAGAGGAGGCGAGAGACAAACGTCGGCCTGGAGGCCGAGGCACTCAGTAGCAAAAAAGCGGTTCTCAGCGACCCACAAGATAAAACACCTGGACCAGCTGACCTGCCAACTCAGCTGTTCTCAGATGAAGTCCAACTAAGTTTCTGGTTGTCTAGAACTGCCAAAGAGTCGCCAGAGAAGCCTCCTTCAGAAGGCATTCGTACCCAACCCCCATCTGGCAAGGGTGCACGTTCAGTATTTAAAACGGCATTTCTCAGCGAACCACGAGATAAAACACCTGGACGGGTTGGCCCATCAACTCAACTGTTTTCAGATGCAAGCCAACTGAGTTTCTGGTTGTCCAGAACTGCCAAAGGGCCGCCAGGGAAGCCTTCTTCAGAAGGCTTTCGTACTCACCCCCAAGCTAGCAAGGGAGTGGGCGCCTTGGGACCAGGAAATACAGATAAGGTCACCGTATTTATTTCTCCGAGTGATATTTTTTTAGAAAGCTTGTTGGACGACGGCGACATTATATTGAGAGATTGGTTCCCTGAACCTCTAACAGGTACCGTGCCGATTAGCCACTTTGACGAAGATCTGGATTTAGAAGGATGCGAGGACGTGAAGTGTTATTACGAGGATCCCAAGAAACCAGCCACATCGTCTGCAGATGCAGGAGTGGGGCATAATCAACAAGGCAGCATCTCTACTAAAGTGCGCACCGGACCTTCGAGTGTCTGGGGGCAGGTGCGCTCTGGTTCGTGACATAGTTCCTTATCAAATAGGCATCATATGCTAGATCTGAACTTGCCGCTGCTCATGCATTTTGTTTACGGTGAACTGCAGGAGTGCACATCACCCAGAAGCCGTGTATCGTATTATTTGCTGCCAGCACTGCAGCCTGGTTCTATGATATCTAGCATGAGTCGTTAGTGCCCGCAGTCCTAACGACATTAGTCAGACAGTATTTGCACCTCGTAAACACGTTGCTGCAGCTTCTGTGCTCAGGCAGTCCAGTCACAAACGGGGCCTTCTGCTGAGGGTGGAGGGGCTGCTGTCGTAGATTCTTCAGGATCCGGCGATGATATGAACGCGCATCCTTTCTTCCGCTTACCTGCTGTGCCACCCAATCTTAGTGCAAAACAGATCGACTTAGCCAGTCTTGCTTCCTCTTCTACAGTAAAGGGAAAACCAGTATTTTCTCTTCATGTGATCAGAAGTGTTTGTTTAGGACCTTCTCTTGACAAAGATTCTTTCGATCTTCTGGTGGACGCAGCAGAACGCCTGTGTAAATACGCTTTGGAACACATGGACACGGACGTCGCGGGTCTGGTTCCATATCGTGTCGTGGAAATCATGGGGACCATATTCTTCGTCGTGGACGCACTCTATTGCGCAGACCAACTGCTTGGTGCAAATGCCAACAGTAACCAATGGTGGCCGTCAGTAATGGATCGCGTCAAAATTGCTCTGAGCTCTTTCGAAAAAGACAAGAAGAACCGTCATTTGAGTTCCAGGTATATGAAGCTTTGTGTAGCTCTGGTGGAAGCTCTTGGTACCTACACAAGAGGTTCCCGGCCTAGTGCAAAAGATGTGGTCTATCTAAAACGGTCTCTGGTCTGTGAGTCTGGCAAGACGAAATTCGGAGGTAACGCGTGGGATCCTTGGCGAAGAGACGAAAGGCTGTGGACTGGGTCTAAATCCTGCTGATTTTAGTGGAAGCAGCTATAGTGGAGGCGTGAAACAATTCGCCAACAAATACGCCTTTTGTTGAGGCCAAATTCTTGTGAATACTGCGGGAACTTCGCCTATGTTGACGGATGCGTTGTATTCGTGTCGTCAGTATATAGGCTGGGCGCTTAGCCGCTCGTTTTTGGTTAGTCTGGCACATCCATGTAGAGTTTATGGTGCGGCAGGAACCCACCGTAATAAATTGTACATTGTGCCGGCGTGCGGTAACGTGTGCACGAATGTGCCGTACCTGCACTATATTTGAACAATGCGCTACCCTGTGAAATCTTAGGGTAGTGTAGGCATGTTTTTGGTGTCCTAAAATAGTAGTGGGAAGTAGAGATTCGTTTCAAAGAGAATGAGTTGAGAAGCAGTGTTTTCCCCAAGTGCATTTTAGCTAGTTTAGTGATGTACACCTACGGGTATAACTGCGTACAGTACGTATAGCCTCGTGGAGCAATGCTGCAAGACATGGACTCAGCTGGCATTGGTAGTAGTGAATCTGGTTATTTTATCTTGTCTCAAACACACGGCCATGGAAATTCGTTACAGCAGAGGTGTATCTGTAGGAGGCAGCACCGATAGAAAGCCAACATAGGAGGCAGAAGGCTAGTTGACAAACGTTGAATTTTGCCATAGGCCTTCAAACACACAGACCTGTATGTGTGTGTGAGGCGTTGTTTCCAAATCCGTCAGTTGGGCTGGATGTGGCAACAGCTCCTGCAAATGCCACTTTGGGGGCTGTCATTTCTTCGTTGACTGAAGTGCTACCTGCATGCACTATTCGGGCATGTTTTTTTTTCATTAATTGATACCGTTTCGGTTCAACTTGAACATAGTCTCTTCGTTACGTATCTCTGCAATGCTGCATATCCTTTCTAATTGTGTTTGTTCCGCCCTCTGTTGGCCGTATTGGCCCTCGAATTTAGTTATTCAGGGGCCCAGCGTCTTGTTGTTCGCCTTGTTTTCCCTGCGCTTTTTCCGTAGTGCATGCATACTGGGTGAACCGACGGCGATACGGTACGTATTCTTTCACTTCAAATGCACGCCATTTTGGGAGTATCAAAGCTAGGGATTACAGTATTCTCTAAAACACCTATATTAGGCATGGGGGCGCGTGGCGTCAAGCTGAAAGGGAACAATTTGCCTTTGCTGCAACGTCTAGTACGGTGTTATACGACGAACGGACTTTAAGAGCACAACACGGCGATTTTTGATGAATACCTGGATATCTCAGGGCTGGATAATGTATTAATTGCAGTGAGAGAAGGAATTGCCTCACTGCAAGGATGAGCTGTTGCCGGAGCAAAAACTTGTGTGGACTCAGCCTGCCCAAGTAGGTTTGACGCAAAAACTGCTTGGCGTTTACGGCATTCACAGCTTTGAGACAGCTCATCCAACAACAAAATAAGGAAAACGTGCCACCTAGTGGAGAATAGAAAGGAGGCTCTTGGAATGATATGTACTGCCGCATGCACTGCCACAGCCCTTATTACCGACAACATCCTGCCAACTATATAAATGTGAATTGATAAACCCTGAACAGTAAATGAGCACGGAGTGCGACGTACAACCAGGACGCAAACTGTATGCGCACTTCTTCTTGTGGGATTTCCAAACTCTTTTATTCCCGTCGGCGACTGAAAAGAGTAGGCACCCAAACAGTAATTGTTGGGGGCTACAGGAATACTGAGGAATGCACCGAACGATGGCTTGGCCCTGTATAAGGACCTAGGGGGTTGGTGGATTACAGCAGTGAAATGCTTTTACAGCTGGACACCCGCGAGCTCTTTTTTTTGGATTCGCGATTGAACTAAAGTGCCCTTCGCGTTTTGCACTCAAGACCCAGAAGGGGCAGAACAGCTGAAATTTGGAGACACCGGCTAATTCATGTCTAATGCGTTTGGCTAGGTGGGGGCATGAAGGTTATAAATCGACCCATCTTGTTTCTGCACTAAGAACTGTCCCTCTGCTAAGTGCCTTCTTAACCCGGCTGCTCCTTCGAATCTAACTAGCATCACCACAGCACTGCACTACCTCACGTTTCCCCAGTCAATTTTCCCCTGCCCACGACAAGTATTCCACTTCTCCCAGAATATGCAAATATTGCCAAGCTAACTGGGTAGCCTGTAGCTTCAGGGTCGCATGATCTTGACACAAAAGATGTGCACATTTGAGACGGTACGACGCATCACTGGCAATCTTCAGGTACAGCGCCGGTAACTTGTGTACAGCAAGACCATTTTGACTGAAAATATCTAGGTATAGATAGCTCGCAAAACGAAGCTTCCGAGGGTCTTGAATTAATTTGCATCCCCCATCCGTTTTTCCTATGCAGTTCAAACTTACAGTACTTGCCACTTTCGCAATAGCCTATTGTGTTGAGATGCTTGAGGCGGTACTTGATTACTTGTTGTTTAATGCTTCCCAAACCTCAGTACGTTTGCCCGTTACAAATGAAAACAGCTCACATTTGTTGTCATAGACGAATGCGCCATACAAAAGATGCAGTGAATAACGTGGAACCGAGCGATACGCGAATCACGAGTTGGCAACGAAGAATGGGTGGCTTCTGACAATTTTTAATGCGTTTAATATGCTAGTATTTCGTGCACTTAAATCCATCACCAGCACTTACACACCCTTTATATGCACTGTAGAATTGCTAAACAAATCGATTATTCATGAGGCCCTTCAAATGGCTTAAGCACAGTGGTCCTGCAGTCGTGGAAGACCAATGAACAGATGTGCGTAGAGGCTGCTTGCCAGTCCAAGGTGAAGCAGGAGCTGCATATAGCATATTGCGCGCACACTGAATTTTGATGTGTCCCTTTCATAAGACTAAGGTGAACGTTCAGGGAATGAGGTACATTCCCATCACTAATGAAGAGCGCAATCAAGCAACTGCACAAGGGTACTAATTTTCATCGATCCCTGCGCAGGGATTAGTTTTGTTCTTTTTGGGTTATACTGAAGAGATTGCGAAGCGCTTATGCACACGGCAACCAAGGTCCGTACTGCCAATATGAAGGTTTGTCACCTTAGGATTACGCTACTCACATTGCATTTCCGATAGACTTGCAGCTTCTTGTTCAATGCAGAATTGCTAAATGCTTGCAACCGTACCATGATCAAATACTTACCCATGCGCTCAGTATCCCCAGCTGTGCTCCAGTCGACAAATGTGGTGCGCCAGCAATATCCTCGCGAGGCCAGCATTTTCTGTTGTGTTGCATGTGCTGTTCCACGGTGAAGGTGCAGCTGTTAATTATCAGGTCAGCCACAGCATATCCGCTGGAAATGGTTTCATTTGTTGATCAATACTTTCAGATGAAGACGGAAAGATGGCATTTGTGCTCGTCTGTAAGTTGTACTCCCTTTCCTCTCGGTGCAGCAACCCTAAGGTTGCTCGTAGCAGATGGAGCAGGAAGATAAGGACCAATGTAAGCTCATGACATCACGGAATTGTCTTTTGAAGATCTTTTCCTCTCCTCAAGATATATGCGTTTTGTTTGCTTCCAAGAGGAATGCCTATTTACCAGGAACATTGAATACCTGCAATCGAACGGCCTCCAAGAAGAGGGAACATACACACAAAAAGAATAATTAACTGCAGCAGCTCCCGCAGCAAAAACGAATGTGCTGCATGCGGGAGGCCTACTGGACAAGCTTTAATCGTTCGCAAGTTGCAATTCCTATCTACTTGATGAAGGGCAACGTTTCGAGGTGTGATATTGGGTGTTAGGCTGTGGAGTGGATCTTCAGAAGTATGAGTGATGCAAGCAGACCGCTCCACCAAGGTTCGGCCGCTCGACCGAGGTTCTTCGGGCCAAGCTGAAATGAAATATTTGCGTATGCGCCATGCCATAACTTCTTAAGGGGTTAAATATTCAGCATCCAGTAGATTTTAACAGTCATCGATCCTTCTTCGCATGTAGGATTCGACGCTTTCCGGAAAAGATCCTGTTATGCGTCTCAGTTACAGCAGTTGGCTATCCTCTAGGGATTTCCTTAGACGGATCCGTCTTCCACCAAACAGGTGCTCTTCTCTATTATCTACAATTTGCTGTAGTCCTTCGTTGTGTTCTGCTGAAGCGATGCACTTCCTATGCAATACTACTTCGTAAAGTATTCTTTACAGTTCATCCCTGCGAAACTCTGTATACGCTCTGGAGTGTGAGTGCTGACCGCACCAGCGGCTCTTCACATAGGCTGTGTCAATTCTGTTGTGGCTCTTGCGCTAATCTTGTTAATGGTTACAACCCAACTTAGACGCTGGTGTGTGGTGCTTTTAGATGCTTTTCCTATTCGTCAAGAGTGCCGCTCGGTCTATACGCATACTCCGAATCATATAACTAGTGCATTGACCCTCCGACAGGCAGACCTAATCACTTAGTAAGTTACCTCGCAAACATGTGCAAATTTATTCGGAAAACCAAGTAGAGGAGAATAGATGGACTCCGCTCTTTAGGCTATGCATGTACGAAGCGATTTACGTTGCACACATTATAAGAGTAAAATGGTAGAGAATGGATCTATAGTAATGCACTAGTCCACTCGTGCATGGTACTGCAACCAATGTATTCGCTGCTCACTGTTGACGCGTGCCACGCTTCTTCAAACAGGTCCGTTGCCACCGAGGCACGCATCGTTACGGTGGAGAGTTTTTGTTGAGCGGCGGTCTGGCCATACTATTGGAAAGCGCATCGGAGGGCACAGAAGCACAATTCAAATTGCAATTTTCACGCACTTAAGCTGTTCTGCAGAAAGATGCTTGTCTAGCGCAGAAAGGCCGGTACCGTAGAAGATCAACCCGCAGGAGGAGGCTGCAGAGACGCAGTGTAACGTGGGTGTACTGACGAGCTCGTGCCAGCAAATTGCGGTCCCTATGAAAATATCTTAGAAAAGTGAAAATCAAGCAAGCAGTAGAGGGTCAAAGAAAGGACATGTGTTGGTTGACTGCGGCGCATCGAAGTTGGGAGTTCCGCCCCACATGGAAGAAGTGGCGTATCTCCAACACGAAAAGCGGGTTTACAGGCAGATAAATTTGAAGGGTCTTACGATATTCAGGGTACACCTGGATGTAGTTGTTTTGAGTGCTAATCTACCTATCGAGTGTAGTAGTCCTTACCTCGAGTGCCAACCGAATGTCCAATTGTGCCTGCCACAAACCACTCTCTGCACAACAAGAAGTGTTTCAAATTTCCATGCCTACTGCACTGGGTATTACTCATACTTAGATTTCTTCTTGTGATGGGAAGGCCTGATGTGCTCCTAGCTTCTTTGCCAAGCAGCGCACGACAGGCCCACGGCTGGTTCGCTGATCGACGCAGGCACGCGGCGAAAAGGAAGCTGGTAGTACAAACAACAGCCATTTAGTGAAGGTCCAAGAAAACAGCATTAAACTTAATTGGCAATAAATTTTGATCAATTGTGCCTTCAGTGCAAAATCTATGGAGAAGCTCATCCTCACGACTGAAGCCGTGGGAAGTTTCCTCTGCACGATGCTGCTGGATCTACAGATTTTCTTCTCCAGACATTTTCGCTTGTTTATTCAACAACTTGCCGTTGCATAGTCTAACCTTTATCTCAAATAATACCCAGAGACATACAATTTTGTTTCCGTGTGTACTTTCGAAGCCCGACGCCCAGCATTGCAGTGACTCGTTGGCTATTTTGGAAGCCATTCCTTTGCCAATGCTGGCTTCTCCCATGAATTCAGCATACCAAAATGGGGAACGCTTTGATCAGGTGTCTTTCGTTTCTGAGGAGCAGTGGAGAGGAAGTAGTCGACGAGATATTTTGTATGGGCTGAGGGGATATCTCTATTCGCACGGAGTTCCCCATATCTCCCCGTTTTATGGGGGAATGGCCTTAGTTTCTTTATTTGCCATTGTTTTTGTTGCTACCCATTGCTCTACCCGTATTCTTCACATGGACACGCCTTGGTGGCATCAACGACGCCGGCTGGCTGATGAACACCAAGAAGTAGCAAGCAACGGTGGAAAAAGAGGTGACTCACCACCTTGCGAATGGTTGAATAACGTTGGAAAGGGCCAAGTGAATCAGAAGTCGATTGGGATCCCAACTCCTATGGTGGCGCTAAGTGGATCGAATACACGCCCAGCGGGTCACGGCGTTAAAGTAATGTGGGAAACCGCAAACGACGAGGAACTGCAAAGGATCGCGACGCTGCAGAAGGAATCAGGCATTCCCTTGGATTCAGAGAGTACTTTACTGGGGGAACGTCTTAGCGAGTCATTGGAACTGCTAATTGAGAGTGCTTTGACTGATGTGAGTAGCTTGCGGGTGGAGCCATGGCTTCTGGACCCTGGCTTGGAAGTGCCTGAAGGCCTACTTCTCGAAGGGGAGGAAGAAGGCGAAGGGCCTCTTCCCCAAGATTTTTCAGAAGCAGGGACAAGCAAAACCTGGGATGGCATGGGTTTTGGAAGTACTGTTTCAGTTTCACCGCCTGCGGCGTTTGGCGAGCCCAGTACAGCCACTATGCAACAGCTGTCACAGCAGGCAGCTTGTGCCGTTGTAACGGACGTGCAACCGTCTTCAAGCATCTCATCTTCACATGGGCCTCGCATTGCTGGTAATCGAAATGCACACGCACATTCATTTTTGGGCACAGCTCAGGAGGCGGAGCAAGGACTGACCTCAGGTGGGGTTATTCATTATCGTCGGCAGCTCCATCGCCAAATTTGGTTCTCAGCATTTTCTCTAGCACATAATTTATACAACGGTGGAACAGTGGGTGTTGCCATGCTGCACCAGCAAAACAAAACGTTGCGGATTTTATTTGCCCTTATGCAGACGCCATACAAGGCCCAACCAGTAATGTTTTTGAACCGAGGAACTCTGGCTTACAGGTAGGGGTCGCTATGCTGCTTTGCTGACTTCTAAATGCAACCTTGGAGCTCCGGTAGTAGTCTTATTATGATAGTGTAATGTTTTTTTTTGTGGTAACATCCACGACAAAGGCCACATGGTGCGTCCGGCATGGATTCAGCCGTCTCATTTCGAATCATATTGATCTCTGCGTTCAGGTTTCGTTTGTTGAGGCGGACACGTCATATGTGGAAAAACCACAGTCGCGTCTTTTCCCATCTCTTTATGCAGCTCTCTCACAAAAGCCCTCTTCTGAATCTGGGCCAGATTTAAGCAAGCATCCTTTCTACAGGACCCCTCAGTTGCTTTCAGGGGTGGTTCCAAGGGACTTCAATATGGACTCTGCTCTCGCAGCTGCCAGTCCATCTTCTCCCCTCCGCACACTTCAGCGGATCAGTTCATGGCTTAATATGGAGATGCTTGACTTGACCGGCTCTAATCTGCTCATGAAATGTTTAGAAGACCTCGTCGGTTTTGCGGTGCATCACTTCAAGAGTACCCTCAAGGTTGTGAGGCCTGTATTCGGGGTCGAGACACTGGCGCTTTATCTGCTGATTGCAGATTCGTTGTATGCTGCTAGTTTGGCTTTGGGGGACCCAGCGCAGCGCAATACTTGGTGGGGAAGAATTATGTCTGCCCTTCCTACCAACATTGTCTTAGGTTCGCACCCACATCCGCGTAGGGCAAGCAGAGATCTTCTCTCCCTCGCGGGAAGGATTAAAAACGCGTTGGACATATTCCGGTCAGGCTGTCGTCCCTCCCCGATTGTGTTGGTTCCTTTAAAACAGGATATCTTATGCAGTGGCATGCTACGCAAGTTTCAGCGGGGCAGGTGGAAGATCTTTAAGACTGACGATGACAAGTGGAGAGTTTATACGCAGAAGTATTCGTGACATTAACTTTCATGTCAGCGTCGAGTATAGTGTAAGCTACGCACAGGATCTGGTTCAACTTTATTTTGATTAGACAGCGTACGAAACGAGTGAAACTGAGCAAGGCCTCGTGTGTAGTCCCTAATTTGGCGATTGATCCTTATGATGATCCCTTTCCATGTGGTTGCATCTTTGCCCCAATGTGTTTTTTTTTGCACTACCATGTCCACCATTTGCTTAGCTCCACGTCTTCGTTTGTATAAATCATGGCTGTCTTTTCACCTTTCAGTTTGCATTCATCGGCAAGGGGGAGGGCTGATTTCTATAACCAGCGGGACACTGTAAATTTAAGCTGGTAAATTAAACTTTTGCGGTAGAGGATATTATCAACTATTGGGGATTTCAAAACTTGGGAAGACTGTCTTCTGGCCGTATACGCGCTGGAGACCAATAGGCGATGCGTGTTTTCCCCAGCAGACTGAAGTTTTCCTTGATCGGAGGTAATTCCATTTGCGCACTTACACAGATCATGCGCACATATGGGCCCGCTAGGAATTTCCTCATTGGCCGAAGTTCTTAAAGGGACTGCTGAAAGTCAGCAGCGATCTGTGCCAGCAAGCTCGGCTGCATTTGTACGCTCGTTGTCAAGACAGGCTGGCCTGTTGCGTTTTGGGAGGAGTGAACTTCCTCGCCAACCCAACCCTCGATTGCTGTGCAATCGAGGGTTGGGTCTGCAGTGGTGCCGAGTACACATTTTACAATATCATCCAACTGGAACTCCCGGTATATATGTGGGGCTCTACCCCATTAGGTTCCCATGCTAGGTTGACCACAAAGCCAGGTCCCCAACTTCGATTCACTTGAGTCCGATATTGTGTTGTAGACTTGCGAATCTATATACTTTTACGTCACTAGACTAGGAACCAGCGTTTGGAGCCCCGACTAGGCCTCCCGAATGGCACTGTGATGCAAGGGTTGTCTACGATGAGGAGGACGCGATGCAGCCGCAGTAGCAACCGTCACAACGGTTAATTCTACTTATCCCCATGAGGAGTAGAAGTCACCTTTGGCCGAAAAATGTGCTGTCCAGGATTACTGAACCTTCCAGTAGCCCTTCTGAGCAGTCCTTCTGAAGGCAACTTCGCTGGTCCACCAAATAAGCTAGCTACCCAGATACTTAGGAAGTTGACTAGTTCGCGTTGCAGCCTGCTTGCTGGACTGCCGTCTAACTCTGTAGTTAGATGTCCACCCCGCTAGCTCACCTACCAGCCTGCCCAATGCAAGCGCTAGATAGAAGGCGTGCCACCTAGCCAGGAGTGATGAGGATAAATGAAACCATGGCTAGAGTGATGGCCAGAGCAATGGCTAACTGGACTAAAGGCATAAGCGAAGAGAAGAAGGAGAAGCGTAGCAGCTTCTTAGCTGCATCTAGACCCCGTCTCTGCTGCTGTTGCAAAGCCTCCTGAGTCGCTGCCGTTCGTTGCAGCAGAATATTGTCTCTCTGTAATCTCTCTCTAAACATCAAAGCGCCCTGCTTCATTTCACTGGCAGTGTCAAGAAGATGCTCCCCTACGTGGGTGTCGTCGAGGCATGCTGGTGGTGTTGCAGCGCGGGCAGTACCAGCACCTACTCCTGTTCCCATGGATTTGAAGCTCCGCTGTAGAAACACTTCTCTCTTCGTACCCTCTTCCAGCGGCAGGTTCCGACGTCTTTCTTCGGTAGACAGCTGCTGCCGGCCTCCGGGATGCACCGCTACTGCTGCCTGTACTGGTATAGGTGGTGCTGCTGCTTCATCGTCGCTTGGAGCTTCTCCAGCCCAGAGTTCAAGATCCGCAAGCACTTGATCCACTAGCTGCAGCAGCAGCTGTCGATGCTGTTGCTGTTGCTGCCAATACACCCGCTTCTTTGGAAGCAACATCACCAACGCTTCTTTCGTGCCGCTGTTGCACTTGCTGCTGCCATCGCAACGATCCTGCATCTCCTGGATAAAAGCTGCTATTGCTGCAGCAGCGGCTGCTGGAGCTGATGCCTCGCGCTGTTGTTGTTGCTGTCGCTTCAGCTCCTGCTGCAGCTGCTGTTGCAGCATGGAGAGTGTGTGCACGTTCTGCAGGAAGCATAGCCCCCACACTGAAGCCACACGCATCTGTACCAGGCGATAGACGTACACAGAGAGTAGCAGATGCAGCGGCATTCGCATCAGTATCAACCGGTACCAAATTCAGCAGCACGTGCGGCAGCCTGAACTACGCATGAAACAACTAAAGCAGCCTGTTACAGAATTCACCTGCAGAAGACTCGCCCAGGAAGCAGCTGACTTGATGGAGCACTCCCCAGATGGCAAAATACCGCCATTCCTGCCGCTCCGGTGGTCCTTGGTGCCAAGTGTAGTATCAGTGTCGTGCTTGTGCTCGAGGTTCTCCAGTTGCAACCGGGAACGGCGGAGCAGCTGCAGCAATTCGGCTTCTAATGCTGCATAGCGATTTTCCTCTCGTGTTTGCTGCTGCAACCCCTTCTGCTCTGTCGTGCCCCGCCCCTGATGCCCCTGCGGCTGCAAGCACGCAGTAGCTCTAAGCAAAGCAACCTGCATCTCCACAGCATCTGGATCCGCAGAAGCTGCAGCAGTAGTGGCAGTAGAACAATTCCTTCGGGTTTTCTGGTACTGCAGGGACCGTTTCCAGCTGCTCCAGCAGCAGCAAATGCTGCTGCCACCCCCACCGCTACCACTCTTGTGCGCCTCCCTACACTTCTGGTAGGGTACAGGATTCACTTGAAGCATAAACAGTTCTTACAAGGAATTATAAAGAGATGCAGGAGGAGCTGGGCGCTGCAACAGCTATAACATGTGCAGCATGCCTGTGTACCCCTGCTGCCGACGGGGCCCCATGCAGCAATCGCCATAGCAAGAATCGCTGCAACAAAGGAGCAAGCAGGAACGAACAATTTGTCAGTGTTGTGCTTTACCCCTTGACCTTTTGACCGTAGTAGAAAATTGAAGAGCTCTGGAGCAGCATCTACAGAGGCAGGCGAACCTGATGCTGTTGCAGCGCACAAGCAGACCATTAACACATTTGGTCTGGGCAGTTCCAAGAGCAGCCAGGGGCAGCAGAAGAACAGGTATAGCAGCTTTAGACCAAGAAAGACACTCTTTTAAGCGACCCAGGGTAGTTGAGGCCTACAACAGTAACGACAACAAGAGTAACAGCGGCAGCGAAGTCGGCCGCACCCAGCTGATTGGCCGCTGCAGCAGGGCAGAAGCCTCCTTCTCAGGCAGCAACACCAGCAGCAGCAACTAATACGGTTGCAAAAGGAATCAGGAGCATAGCGGCAGCAGCAGTAACATGGCACAGCGGCAGCAAGACAAGCTGGAAGCTGTGGCAGAAGCAGCAGGAGCAGCAGCAGCAGCTGCTGCTGCAAGCGTCTGGCGCTTCTTCGAGGATGATGCTGCAACACATGAGGAGGAAATTAAGAAAATTAGTGCCAGCTGCGGTTGCAACACCCAGAAAAGCACTGCAAAGAAACAACAAAGCCCCCCACTGGATACAGTAGCAGCTACAGCAGCAAAACTAACGCCCGCCACGGAAATAACTGCTACCCCAGGTACTGATACTTCTACTCCTTTTGTCACCGCTCCTGCATATGGAAGCAATGGCAACTGTAGAAGCAGCAATAACAGCAGCGGCGATAGCAGCACAACAGCAACCAGCAAAGACACAAGCCCCATGGGACCTCGTGGAAATATAGACGATCTGAATGCCCCAGCAGGTTGCAACAACAGCAGCAGGAAAAGCGCCGACATTGACGGCATCTCTGACAGCAGCGCACCTATTGGCCGCACGAAAAGCAGCGTCAGGTGCAACGACTGCAGTGGCAGCAGCAGCAACGGAGGAGACTTCGTGTCAGCTTTAGGGATGCTAAGGAACGCCGCAAACTGCATTTTATCGGGGACTCCACAGAATCAGCAGCAGACACATTTGGGCCAGCAGCAGCTGCTGATGCAGGAAAAAACGGGACCTCACAGCGGCGAAAATCTCCAGTTATCGAGCAGCATTGCTATTGGAAGTTCTATTGGAAGTACGCAAGCACCAGGTGCTGCTGCGGCAGCTGCTCCAGGTGCTGCTGCGGCTGCTGCTGTCGTTGCTGCTGCAGTCTTAGCAGCTGAGGCAGCTGTACGCGGAGATAGCAGCTCAGTGCTGAGCAGCACCAGCGCCTGCAGTAATGGCATCAGCAACACGACTCACTACCAAACCTCAACCACCCCAGAGGCTGTACAAGTTGCTCACAGACTTCTACCCCAGCAGCAGCAGCAGGACCACCAGCAGCAAGGCAACGACGACCTGTCTGTGGATACATCTACAGCCAATGCTGCGCCGGACGTTGCTGCAGAAGTTTCAGTGTCTGCTTGTGCAGTATCGGTGGAAGCAGAGGTAAACGCAGCAACACTAGAAGGAGGAACACCCGCGGCAGCAGCAGCAAACGAAACAGAAACGACGGGAGGAGCAGGAATTCATAAACTTGTGGAGAGTAGACTTGGCTACGCCACGGACATTGGGGGGCAGCTGCAGCAAACAGCCCAACAGACGGCAGCAAAGAAGCACCCCGAAGAAGGTAAGCTGTATCCTAACCCTTGCTTCTTGAGCTGCATACTCGAAGATGCAAACCAGCACATGGTCCTACAGCCTATTTCTAGAGAGCGAGGGCGCATTCACCCATGCGAATGAATTGACCGTTTACGGCTTAGAATTTTATATCTCTGGGATCAAAGGGTGGATGAAAGGTACACCACAACGTATATGTGCTGGTAGTTTGCAGCTGATGGGTTCAGAGCTTGTGCTCTAGGGTGTGCGCGCTGCAGATGCCAGCACCCCGAGTTGGTACCGCCACAAGCGGCATACCTTCATCTTCTCCTATTCAGGAAAACCAGTATACTCCCGGTAAGCCTTTAACCCTAAATCCTCGACCGCTGTTAGAGCATGCCGCTGCGACCACAGTGCAGAATGCATCGTGAGTACTAAGCGGAGCAGCGACTATCGCAACGGAGCAGTAACAGCAACAGCAGCAGAAATAGCGATTTCTTTGTTGATACTTGCGCAGCTACGGCAAGGAAGAGAACCTCGGCGCCTTCGCAGGTACTTCCACACCACGGTGTAGAGCAGTCTCCACGGTGTAGGGTTTGCATATTCAGGGTTTGGGGTTCAGGGTTTAGTGCTAAGGCCATATGGATTCGGTATAAAAGTATGAGTGGATTACACAGGAGCGCTGCTGGCAATCGTCTCGAAGCTGGAACGGTTTCGCGGCGACAAGCCCCCCGATGTAGTCCGGTGAGGCTCTAGGGCTTGGGGTTTTGGGTGCGCTTTTCACTATGTATAGAGCCATCTTGCATGTCGATTAGTTCTTCGTGGCTTCCCTGTAGGGTTTTTGGCACTTCGGTTTCGGGTTTCACGCTTCATGCCATAGGGTCCAGTACTAGGGGTTTAAGCATTGTGGTACGGGACTTGCTGCAGTCACTTTCGTTGTTTCGGAGGCCGTTTCGTATTCCTTCCTCGGGGGCCGTTCTACTTGGCGCTCTTTGATAGGCAGAGTGTTAACAACAGCATAGCAAGGGCTTACCTGATGCTGCTTCACAGACAGGTCCCAAGGCTGCTGCTGTTTAATTTCGTTCCTGCTTCTGTTGCTTGCTGGTATTTGCGTTCGCTGATTTACGTCGTTGCAGCCGTTTGTTGTGTCTCTGCTGAGATGGGGACGACACAGCCACTACGTAGTTCACACTCATAATCGCACAGGCTGAAGTCTCTATCCTCTCGGATGGGGTGCTGAGATTTCCTGCCGTTGTTGCTGTTGCTGCAGCTGGTGTGTATTCTTACAAAAGAAGTCGAAAGGACTCTCCTTATTCGGCCGAGTTTCGACGTCAGGCCTCTCATGGGCGGTATGATTGCTGCGTATTCTGTGCTGTTGTGGATGATGGTGCTGGCTCCCGTTTGGCTGCTGCAGTGGGGGGTCCATGTGCATCTTTTGTTCAAGGGCATGTCCTGCTGTCGCCGTCCGCCGTGGCTCATGACTCTTTCGAAGTGTTTGCTTCCTCTGTTACTGCTTCTGCAGGCACGGATGGCATATTTCGCGGGCTTCACCGCCATTACTTCAACTCCATGCTATCCGTTTTGCTACCAATATTGATGGAGTCAAACTGCGCTGCAGCCGCAAGTGGTGCTCCAGCCGGCACTGGAGCAGCCGCTTCTGTGGCAGCGGAACAGCTGCATAAACAGCAGCAGCAGCAGGAGCAGCAGTCTGCTGCGCTTTCGATTAGTGGAGCATTCGAGGCGCTGCCCCTGAGCAGCACAATGCGGCACATAGCAACGACAGCAGTGAAAAATGGCCCCACCCCAAACGTCTTGTCCGCGTTTGTGCACCTTGTGGCTTCGACGCTTTTCCCTTTTCGGCCGTCTCGGCTTTTCTAGGATATCTGAGTTCCTCTATTTGCTTTTCCTCTAACCTCCATGTGCTTGCTTTGTTTTCTATCTGCGGTTGTGTCCCTTCCTGTTTCATGTGTTACTTGCCGCGTCTTTCTATCTGCGCCATCCCCTGGTCGATTCTGCATGGACGTTTCCACCCTTCTGTTGAGGGCTAGGGTCATGATGTTCACGTTTTAAGTCCTCCTTTACGTGCAGAGCTTCGATGCTGCTGGCAGAACAACGTGTTGTTTCTCTCTCATACGCCAAAGGATACGAACTGAGCCCCACAGGTGAGGCCTAGGGCACCTCTGCAACACTTCGTATTGTCTCGCCTTCGCTGTCTATACTGTTGCGTGTGGAGCTGAGGGCCAGGAGTTTGCTGGTTTTTGTGAAACCATATTTCGAATTCAGGCGTGCCTTTCAGGGTTGGGTGTTGAGGGTTTCGGATGTGCGCATGCAGATGTCTGCCTGCTGACAAACTTTGTGAGTTCGTCATTGGCTTTGCGCCAGCTAGAGAGCTTCACCCCGCTCTGTCTTCCGAGCATAAATGACAGGCAAGTGGTTTTATTTCTCTTGCGTGGTTGCCTTTGGTCTCCCTTACCTCTATGTGCATGTGGCGCTTGAATCCTGCGTTGCCACTATTTCGTTGAATGATATCGCTGTTTAGCCTTCCTTCTCTTTCGGTCCTTCTATTGCTGGATTACCTTATTGTTTGTGATGGTCCCCTAGTGCAAGCTTTCGTCTTGTTGTCACCGCAGCGTGTGCAAGACCCTCCGTTCGCTTTCGTGTCCCTCATGCATATTTCCGCGTCAATTTTTATGCTTCTCTGTGTCTCCCCAGGGGCTTTCTGCACGCCTACGTGCGCTACTTGACGCCGCGCCTGGCGTTTGTTTGCCTGTCTTCTCCGGCGGACTCCATTCGATTTCACCAACTTGCAAATCATTGCAACAAACTCTTCGCGGTACATCTTGAATATGGTCCAGGGGGTCAGGTTTCGCATCCAAAGGCCAGATGTCGGCCACTATACTGGAACATCCGATTCAGAATCCCAGCCAATTTTATTGTTTATGGCTTCGGGTTTGTTGCAGATGCTGACGAATACCGGCTGCTTGGCCGCAATAGAAACATCGCTGGAGTACGCCCCGTATGCACTGCGTGAGTAAAACATCGATACTTAGCGTTTGGCATACGCGCCGTTCTATGGTGTATTAGCTGAGGACTGGGAACTAATTTAGCTGGGCTTGGAGTTGTTCTGTGTACAGCGCGATGTTTGTGGGGAGAAATCGCGCTGGTGCACTGTGCCCTCTTCGTGCCGTCTCTATCTCAATATTTTTCGTCTGCGTTTGGTGATGACTACAAAGGAGACGCCTCAAAGCAGCAGCGGTTAGGGTAGCCCTCAGCTTTCGACCCTCACTCCCCACCCCAACCCCCCTAGAGGGCACACGTCCAACCTGCAAAGGCGGATTCCTTTGGCACCTTGTTTACTATGTAAGAGTGGAATGTCCACCTGAAGGGTGTATGTGTAATGTTGCAGCATATACACGCTGTACACAGGCGCTGTAGAGTTGATACAAAACGCAAAGCGCCCGGCGCATTCATTTGTGGAGACGACGGTGAGGGTTTAGGGCCTGTCTAGGCCATCAGCCATCATCACTTCTTTTGCCAGCTGAAGGCTTAGGATGAGGGTTTGATGTAAAGGGTCCGTCCTGGGTCGACGGTTTCCGGATAAGGTGTATGAGCGGGCGGTAGTGTTTGATGTTCGCTGTTAGGATGAAAAAGTGTACGTATGGTTGACAGTGGAGTTCTTTTTCTTTTGCTGCGTCCCAAGATGGATCAGTAAGGCAACCTACTGCTGGTGCTGCCACTCCCGTTGCTTCAGCACGTGGAGGTGCTGGTGTTCCACAAGCATGCAGACGCACTGCTACTCTAGCAAAGAGCGCTGGTGGACAGAGAATCAACAACGCATCCAAGGAAGACCTCTTTTCCCAGCTGTCCTAGGGGCTGTTGCTGCACAATGCTTAGGGTTAGTTAGGGTTTTGATTATGTGTGCAGATATATCGACAACCCTTGTGGAGCAGCTAGCGAAGTGGATCCGGGAACAGCAGCCTTTCCTCTTCATTACAGAAACCCCTCCGCTTGTTCACATACCGCAGCAAAAGTGACAGCCACCCCAGGACAAGTTTCTGCTGCTCGGCTAGCTGCTTCGATAAGCATCTCCACAGCACCAGCAACCCTGTTCACAGCGGCAGCAGCAGGCTGAGTTTTGTTACCAGCTACTGTAAAACCTTCCGTCTTACGTTGCCTATATTCTTCCCCCCCCCCCCAAAAGGTACCGCTACCGCTGCAGTACTGTACATCTGCATGATGTCGCCCTGGTTGTCCTCTGTTGCTTCGCGGGGGTTAGTTTGAGCCCTGGGAGCCTATCTGTTAGGAACCCGTAGGGATTCTGGCTTCCTTTTGTTTTCACAGACATTTGTAGTTACGACACTTCTCTGTAGTTAGTGCAGTGCAGAGAGCATCAGCAACATAAACAGCAGCTAGGAAATGGCAATTTTAGACTATTCTATTCGTCAGCCAAACGCCGAGGGAAAATGTTTTTCGGGATCTAGAGGCCGCTGGCGCAGTAGGCGCAATTGCACTCAAATCCAAACTCTTCAAGCCTCTGTCTCCTCAGATGTCTGTGTGTGAGGGGCAAGTTCTTGAGATAGGACACACAAAGCTCTTCTCCCTGCTGTACGTCTCTCACCAATTTTAACAACATTTGTCCTCCGGGCCGCGTGGACGTGCACTCCACCTCCATATTGGGCACACAGCTGTGGTTGACACGAGCAATGGAGCAGAAGAACGCCGTCTGCTTCACTGGGGGGAATTCACGGCCCTGGCCTACTGGAGGGGGGCAGAGGGAGTACGGAGGCTTGCTCAAATACAGCTTCCGTAGAGTCTGCATATCCCCTTCTGTATCTGCCTCTACATGAGTTATCTGAGGGTACTGGCCGGCATCTTCGTCGTTGCTTGCTTCGTCTTCTTTTTGCTGCTCCCCGAAGAGTGCAGCGAGGGCCGCTTCCTTCTCTGCCAGTAGAACCTGCAGACCCTCGGAACCGACGATTATGTTACGTGAAAAGCAGAAGCCAAAGAAGGCGTTTAGGGGGTTGGGAACTTCCAGGTCCGAATTGCAATGCTCGAAGAGTGACAGCAATTCAGAAACAAGGCGAGGCGATACGAGGTGCACGTACAGTGGAGAGGCATCTCTCAAACCCAACAACAGCAGATTTGACCCTCTTTCGACAATAGCTTTTCGACTCAGCTCAGTCTCTTCTTCCGTTTCTTCACCTGTTTTCTCTTCCATCACTCCAGCCCTTGTGGGTGTCTCAATCTCTTCCTCCTCGTGCCACTGTCCATGTTTGTGCTGCAGCAGCAATTGCAGCAGCTGCATGGCCCTAGCAGCGGCTTCCGCATCATTCGAATCTCCTCCTGGTGCTGTTACTACAGCAGTTGCTGCTGATACAATGGCTGCAGCAGCCAGAAGTAGGTTTTCGCAGTGCTCTACAGCAAAACGTTTAAAGGCAACCAAAGGCGCCTCCTCACTCAAGCGGCCGACGCACAGCTGCCTATGGACGACGTCCCTCTCGAGACACCGTACGGAGCAGAACGCTTCCCCGCAACCGGCAGGGCAAGATACCACTTCATGCTGCTGTTGATGCTGTTGTTCCTGCTGGAGCTGTAGCAGCAAGTCTATGTTGATGTTGACGGACTTCAGGTAGCTGGCCGATTCAGGCACCGCAGAGAAGAAATGCAGCAGCTGATACGCAGCGTCACCGAGAGGAACTCTGCAAAAGCAGCAAGCCCTGACGAGGCACTTGTTGATGCTGTGCTGTAGTGACAGCAGCGGGGGTTCCGCATACACAACAAACCCGGCGGGTAAATCGCGGAGAGCAACAAACCCTAGACCCCTGTCTTCGCCATTAGGTCCTTTTACTGGTGCCACAGCGAAGGCTCGCCCTTGCTGCTGCAGTTGCTGCAGCTGCTGCGCCTCGTAAACTGGCTGCAACAACGGCTGCTGCAGCAGGGCTGCGAACCGTTGAGGCACTTCATGGTCCTCTTGCTGTTGTTGATGCTGTGGATTACTTGAATAGCGATGGAGAGACAGGTCCATAGCTGTAATTTGCTGCGTACACTCTTCTGGGTGTAGGGTCTCTGTTTAGTATCCCCGCCTGACGGTCATGCAGTTTGCGTCCGGCTCCAGCTTACGACAATGGACTTCAAGCCGGATAATATGCATCCTTTTCGATGTTCATGATCGTTCTACAGCTCAAACATGCTAGCTGAAAGTTTTGGATTTGGGGTTTAGCATTGAGTGTCCCCTGGGGGGGCCCGCACTGAGCGGGGCCCGTCCCGAACACTCAACGGTCGCAGATTAAAAGAGTCAGCCCTAAAACCTAAACGGCACGCCTTTTTTAGCATTGTGTTGTTACCTGTACTGCTCGTTTAACCATCGTAACTTAGCTGTTTCTGCCCCCAAGTAAAGCGCCGAACACAGCTGCAGAACTTAAACCCGAAACACGAGACAGTTAACGTGGAACCCTTGCATCCTCAGCCCTAAGGCCGTATTCACCATATGCTGGAATGTAAACATTGGGATTTCGCCTCATTACTCTACACAGCACCTTTGTTAGCTTCCCCCTTCTTATGGTCAATCGACGACGTTGCTCTGCTCTTCAGTGGTCATTGGTTTAGGGTTTATGTTTGAGCGTTCTTCTTGGATAGGCATGCGCCTCTAGTCGACTAGGAGATGACGTGAGTCTTACACGTTTTCCTGTTTTCCTACCACCAAGTTCAGCGGAAAGGCGCCGCAGGGATGTCGTGGAGGCAGCAGCAACTGGTGGTGTTCCTGTTGCCTGTGAGATGCCTACAGTAGCCTTTGAGAAACTGGTGCTATCTTTGTAAGTTGCGCTTGAACACAAGCTTTTTCTCCTTCGTTCCCGTACAAACTCAACAATATCCATGCATTCACTGGCTGACTGGGAGTCCTGAGACACTGCTGGTATTCGACCAAAGCCAGTAGCTGTTACAGCAGTACCCACAGCACCAGCAAATGAAGAATGGGTGCCAACTGGTGATGACTGCTGGATAAGAGCGCGCCGTGCTGCAGACAGGGGAGCAGCGATAGAAATGTGTGAGAGGACAAGCCTAGATAGAGCTGTGGCAGCTCAATGCATTTTACGGCGGACGGCCGATGCGTATGAATCCTGACATTGGAGCATTACGCGGATGATAGTGTTCATTAGCACTCAAAGCCAGATCCTTGTAAACCTACGTTTCTTCGTTTCCTCCTGGAGGTCTTGCAACACAGCGTCCAACTTTTCGATATAGTCCTTCAGTCGCAGCAGCTGCTGCTGCGCTAGGAAATACTCTACGGCTTGCACCGGCTGATGCTTAGGCGGACCGCGGCGTACTGCAGCTCCCTGAGCTGCCTTTTCAATACCCAGGGCATACAGGCGCATGACGGAGAGATTCTGCGCGTATTTCTGAACAAGCTCAAAACCACATGGGTATGTTTGTAGTTAAGCGGTTAGTTGTGGACAGAAAGCAACTTTAGAACTCCGGTAGCAGCAGCTTAATGATGGAACCTGGGCAATTCAAGGCCTAGGGTGTTTGATTTACATAAAACATGTTGTTAGTTTTCTGGCATAAAAGGCCAAAAGTCCCTGCAGCATCTCTGTGTCTGCTGTTCGCCTCTTCTGCTGCGGCCTCCAGTCCATCTGCCGTCATCTGAGTTGCCTCTAGTTCCTGGAACACTTTTCCTACAGCGCGAAACAACCCATTGGTGTTCTAGAATATAGGTTTAGGAGTTAGGCCTAAGGGTTTGAGCACCTTATCTAGAAATCCAAGAACGCTGGGTGCAGGGCCGCTGGATTTCAGAGCACCATGATTTAAGGGTTTGTAGCCGGCAGGTTCGGCTTTAGTGTTAGTATTTACGGAGGGTTGCCAAATGGGCATCTTCTTCCTGCATTGCTCGGTTCTTGAAACTTACAAGGGCTGCTCGTTTCTGCTCAATTTTCCCTGCAGGCGTCAAACTCAAAACTATAAGCCAACGAACTGATGTGCACAATGTCACCAAGCATTTTGGCATTCTCGCTGTAAGGAGCTAAGGTTTACTGAATATATCAGCGTTTTGCTGTTGCAGCTCCTTCCGTATCGCTTTCAGGCAGCGCAACCGCTTGAGAAGAGCCAGCGGGTCTCCATAAACCCCACTTATGCGTAGCAAGAACAACCTAGCACACAAAACCTCGCGCCGTAACCCCATTATCCTAGCCGCGATGGCCTGAATCATCGGTGCAACCATTACAATTCTCCAAACCACCAACTGACTTGTACGGCAGCAGTGCCTCAGCTTCCCGCTGTAGCTGTTCTTCAGCTGCAGCTGCTGCTTCCTCCTCTAGTTGAAGTTTTTCTGCCTTTCGTGCGCTTGCTGCCGCTCGGTGTTGGTACACTCCAAGGCTCCTTTTGCTCGCCTGACCGTTTATCACGTTGCGGCGCACCATTGGCCCGTTGCTGCGCACGTGCTGCAGCAGTAACAACAAATGTACGAAAGGTGGCAAGAGCAATGCCATGATATTATTGGTGGCGTTGTCAGGTGAAGTAACCGCATGTTTCGTATTTATATTTTTGATCGCAATTCATACCTCTTTGAACGCCTCCTTTGCAGCCATAAGCTTATTGCACCTTGTTGCTGCTGCTTCCAAAACTGACCTAAAATGTGCCAGACTTTCTGTTCTGGAGGCAGCCAGTTTCTGCAGCTGCTGCCTCCGACATATCGCCAGGGATTGTGGTGCTGCTGCAGCCTCACAAAGCAACAATACCAGCATCAACACCCTGTGCAACAGCAAACGCAACAGCGGAAAGAGGGACAAGGCGACGCAGCGAAACAAATATTCGAGGAAGGGCATTCGTGTGCTGCTTCAGTCGCTGCTCCTGTGGGAATTCCTGTCGCTTGCTGCTCTACAACGGCTTAGGGTGTTCGGTTTTGAGAATAACGTTGCACATTTGGAGAGTTGCAGCAGTTGGCGAAAAGCCTCGATTTGCTCATCTAACAGATGCATACGGCGGTCTTGCTGCTGCTGTTGTCCCGTTGGCTGCAGCTGCTCAAGGCGTTGTCCGCTGTTGTATCGGCTGCTGAAACAGTTGTTATGTGCGGATGGTGTTGGCATCTCTAGAAGCTGTAGAGGGACTACAGCACCATCGGAGCCAGCAGCGGACGTAGCAGCAACGGGAGTCACAGAAGCACCAGCTGGGCAAGCTTTCGGAGCATTTGTTGCAAGAGGAGCCAGCTGGTTGTTACGTGAAACTTTATGACTGGCAGAACGACCAGCAGCAGCCGCACCGCTCGTCCCTTCTATCACTGCTGAAGAAAGCGGTGCTATTACTGCACACTTTGGAGCGGCGCTTGCAGGAGCAGCAGCAACACCAGCAACTGCTGGAAGAGCAAAACTTTCTGGGGTAAACGGAGCAGCAGTGGCACGGTCAGCAATGGCAGCATCGGCAGGAACAGTACCAGTAGAGGAGGGTTGAGGGTTAGGATTGTCATCGCAAGAAGTTAGAAATGTGCTGTCCGCGAAGTTATTTTGCGGCGGCCCACTCTGATGCTGCTGTGCAGCCAGCCCAGTCATTTGCTGTTGCTGGTGTCTATGAGTTGTTGACAGTTGCAGTAAGCCGGTTGGCGTGTCTTGTGGATGCTGCTGCTCCAAATGTTTCTGCTGCCCCTGCTGCAGTTGCTCTTGGCATTGTTGTTGCTGCTGCCACTGGTGATGTTGTTCTCCCTGTTTCTCCCAGTGCTGGTGTTTTCGCTTCGCTTGAATTTGGTGCAGCGATTGAGTATATGACTGCCTCTTTTGCAACAGTTCCAGCTGCTCCACCTTTCGGTGCAACCTGAAGTAAATTAGTTGCAAAGTACTCGTTGGCAACTGCCGTTTCGTCCCTCTCAAACGCTGCCGCTGCTGCTGTTGCCACTTATGCAACTGTTGGTCTTTTGTTTTCTTCTGCGCGAGAGATCGACCCCGCAGCACCTGCATGAGCTCTCGGTGCCTCTGCTGTCTTTGCTCCTCGGGGTGTTGCTGTTGCTGTGGCAACGGCCCTGTCATTCGGCTGAGGGTTGTAGGTGGTTTGGGACGCTCCTGCTGTCGTTTTATATCTCTTAGGAGCTGCTCCCCCGTTGCTATGCAGCTTAGATAGTGCAAAAGTTGCTGCTGTTTCTCGAGCACCCGTTGCTTTGCCGCAGCAAGAGCTGTTCTTGTTGCTGTTGCCGCACAAGACAGTCGCTGTTGCTGTAGTGCCCTGGGAGAGTGGCGCATCGCCCCTGCTGCTGCTTCTGTTGCTGCTGCTGCCGCTGCTGCAGCGGAGACTGCAGCAGACTGCCCGGGTTGTTGACAGTTTCCCCATGAAATTCGTTGGGTGCCGTTGGAACTCCCAGCTTTGCTGCTCCTGGTAGCGGCTACGCCTGCTCCGATCGGTGAAGCTTCAGCATTAACTAAGTGGCACATTGTGGAGCCTGTAGCTCTATCTGGCAGCTGGAGAAGCAGTGCCAGGCTTATCAGTTCCTTGGCCTTGGAAGGGACAGCCGCCTTCCTTAGTCGGGGTGCAGCAGTGTCAGCTGCCACAGGAAGCGGTGAAGCACAAGTAACTGTGGAAGCAGAACAAGTAGCTGCAGGAGAAGGTGTCGCTGCAGCAGAAGTAGAAGGGACAGCATCTGGGATTTCGAGATCCCATCCGTTAATTGGCAAACGCAAAGGGATACGTTGGTGCGGCTCCATCACAGCGTGTCGTTGCTGCAATCCCTACTAGGTGGTGACCTGGCTTTTACTGACAAGCCTAAAGAAGTAAATAGCCTCGAAGTGGCCCTTGATAGGTGAAATCAGAGAGTTTTCTTCCCCTCATTTGTGCTTGGCTCTCTAAGTGTGTTCACCTCCACCTCCATGATTGGGAGATTATGTTCTATGGTCTCGGTCTCCTTGCTTTTTGAGATATCTCTACAATGCCTCTGTTCCGCTGCTTTCTCAGATTGCCTCGGCAGGCTCTCCTCCTGTACGTCGACCTCGCAAGTAGTCCCTTGAGGCTGCCGCTAATGCAAATCTCGCCACCAAGGTTGCAACTGCTGAAGTCGCTGTTGCTGCGGAGAACGGCTGCCTCACGGCCTGGAAGGACCCTAGATTTAAACGTATTGGCTTGGGAATCACGGGAGAAAGCTCAGTTCAGAAAGCTTTAACAGTTAAGCACACCTAAAGCTAAGGCCATCTGGTTCGACGCTGCGGCTGCGTACTGCACCGCTCTCGACTGGCGCGCTCTTCAGCCCCATCACGTTCTAAAACTCCACATCGTAAAGTTCTAACACCCAATCAATCAGCCTTTTCTTCTGTTAAACGAGCGGGGTATATTTTACTGTGGTTAGTTCCTCAGTCCCAAGTCCCTTCGAGTTCATAGCCCTCAATGTACCTCACTGGCGGGAACGGCTGGCTTCATGCGAGGCTAGCAAATTCGAGATCTCCCCGGATACCTTCCAGTGAAAAATTCTTTATACCCATTTGTAATTTGCACAAGCATAAAATATAATGCGGTTTTCTACGTAATTGAAGACAGGACGGGCTGGCTGCAGCCATTGGCTCGACCCTCGGCAACGGCGGGCGTGGGGTCACTCCAGACGGCAGCAAGAAATCCCAAACACATCGTACAAACCCTAAGCCTCAGGCCTTCAAACCAAATATTAATTGCCATGCTTCAGTTTCCGAAGGCAAAACCACACACCGGTCAAGCTTCATGCGCCGTATATAGTAATCACTCCCCCTCCCAACAGTGCTATTGCTGCCGCTTCTGCAATGCTACCGAATGGGCAAACCTTGACACCCGCAAGAATCAACTGCAACCCCCAATTGTGCATTTTCTGTACTGATTGCTTTTTTTGTATTCCGTCGGGCCCAAATGGGGGCCATCACACCACGCCCGAATCCCCCACGGGAGCTGTGTTGCCTAATCCCGTGCCTACGCTTTTCGAGTTTACAATTCAAAACGTTTTCCTTGTGCACATAAAAACTGGACGCCTTGCACTGTTGTGTTGCTGCTGGGTTTGTTAATCTGCTGGCAGCAGCCACACCCCCAGGTACTCGGGTTCACTGTGGAGAGTACAACCCTACGGCCTCAAAGCTGGCACCAAAGCCAACACAAAAGGCATAAGTATGATTTAATCCTACTCCTGCCACATGGTGTTTCACATGCTAGCTCACTGAGCCTGAGCTCTGTGGTCGAGGGTAGCCAACTAGTGAGATTGCTGTTTCACTACATCAGACCCAAAAACTACTTCCTTCGCCAGCTTGTTCCTAGGTTCGCCCTCCATCATCGATTCAAGATACAGCTGAGAACATGACAATCCGCAAAACCTGGCGACTAGACCATAAATCTTACACCGCAGTTAGCAAATGCCCGTTCAGCGGCAGCTGTGCTGCTCCCGAATCCTTCTGTGAAACCTTAGTGCTTGGTAATCTAGCAGTGTAATTTGAAGTTACCCTTCGTTTTTCCTTTTGTCCCTGTCGCTTTGCGAAGTCCAAAACCTCCCTAAGACGCCGTGGTCTCATTAGCTGCATGATCACAAAACCCTCAGGAGTGAGTCTGTGCCCTCAGAGCAAAACTGTAACACTGTCTCCCACATACGAAAATCTAGAACACCTCAGCATCACCCAAGAAGCATCAAATGGTGCATTTGCGCGACACAATCGGCCGTCATTGGAAGTCAAGTAGCCAAATGTCTAAACATTTGACTCTGGCTTTTGAACCCAGGTTTAGTGTTTGAAGTTCCCATCTTGGCTACTGACTCACATCTCTAGTCCTGACGAACTCCCCGTTGCGCCAAAGGGTTTTCCCGCAGAAACTGCCTTCGAGGATTTTCACTGGATCGAGTACAAACCGAGGCCCTGAACCACAAACTCTCACCCTACAACCCAAAGCTATACAGCCTCGTGTCTACTCCCTGCATTTGTAGAAGTGTTTGCGCGCAAGCAAAGTGCATTAACGGAATTTGAAACTCTGAATCCTTCAAATTACCGATTTCGATAAAAGTTTGCCTGTGGGGATCATTTGCATCGCCCCCCTCGCCCATTACAAGCGGCGCAATCTGAAGACAGCGAAAAACGAGAACCCAGCAAACCCTACCCATATGCAGCTGGTACAAAGCTATGAAAACCTCCATGGTGTCGGCACCACACAACTCTGCACCCAGACGGCTGGCGCTACCTTACTTGGTAATGCCTGAACCATATGCGGCTGTCAGTTACAAAGAAAGACATGGCATGGTCGAAGAATGGTTTCGACTTCGGGTGGTTTCTCGGGGTTCCAAACACCTGAACCAAAGGCGACGCCCTGAATACTCCACCCGAATGCCCTGCCAGTGTTATGCACAAGATCCGTTTGAAACCGCGGAGAAGCCCCAAAACCCGAGAGAATGTATGCAAGATCTAAAGTGTTCCACTTGGTCTGTGCCACGAATCTTGAACCGTCAGCCTATGCAAAATTCCAGTCCCCCACTCCTACCTGCATAAAAAGTTCCTTTAGAACCCTCAGGTGGGGCTCCCGTTCAAACTCTGCCCCAAATACCAGTAATGGCCGAGAATGCAGCAAGCAATTGCCCGACAAGCGCACTTCGTTAAGAGTTTCCACTGGAACACATACCATAAGCTGGAAACTCCAAACCCTAAAAGCAAATCCCGTACGACGAAAACATACGTGGAAGCACCTGATAAATTTGTGTGAGTCAGTACGGCACACCGTGAAGCCTACCGTTCATCAGCCTCGCGATAAAAGTGGGTCCAAGGGGCACTTTGACCACATGCAGTAGCGCGTCGTTCTTTCGTTGCTCTAGGTATACTACACTGTTGCACCTGCAGCAGCAGGAGCAGCAGCGAAGAGAGAAGCAAACGAACAGTCAACGCCTTGCGGAACAGGGTAGTACCAACCAACCGTAGAAACAAACAATCAACGCCTTGTTGCTGGCAGCGCGGCGGCAATAGCAGAGCAGCGGCAGCAGCAGCCTACGATCGCAACTGGCAGAGTTCCGCAATGTTTTGGAGCCTTTCTTTCTTCTCCCACTTTGTCTGCACCAACACAAGTCGTATATGGAAAGGCCTGAGCATCCAAACCCTCCCCTACAGGCATCTGGTCGAGAGAATTGATACTTTAGCGCCCAGCGTATTTACCCAAAGGGCTAATGGATAAGTTAAAATGGTTCACGGTGGATATTCTCCAAAGGGCTTGCCTCCAATTTGTGGTGAGGAAGTAGCTTCTTGAAGTCTTCTATGAGATGCCGCGATCGGGCTGAAATACCTCGGCTGCCCAGCAGCAAAACGCGTTGGCGGTTTAGCCATCGTGTTTCTCTTCTAAGGTAATCCGCATCCTCTAATAGATACGGATCCGCTGCTGCTCGTGCATCAATTGTTGCTGCTATGCCGACTTTCGGTGCATCTGCAGATGAATGTGCTGCCCCCACAGCAGCGTCTGACAACGCACATGGCGGCTCGGTTGTTGTTTCCATTGGCTTCGACGGCGTTCTACATGCAGGAGCATCATCGTCAGTGACAAAAGCATCTTCCGCACGCTCATCCACCAGGAGGTCCTGGCGCTTGCAACTGCGGCTTTGACTGGGCTGCTGCTCTTTCACCTGCTGGGTGTGCAAGTGTTGTTCCTGCACCTGCTTTCCAGTTAGCTGCGTATTGTTACTCTCTTGAGAATACTCATGCTTCCGCCCTTGCCGGGGTTTTTCCAACTGCAGCTTCAGAGTCTCTTTGTGTTGCTGCACTCTAGGCTTCTTCCGTCGCTCCAGCTGCTCGACCACAACTTCATGGGCAGCATTAGCATCCCTTCCTTGTTTCATTCCAGCAACTGTCCTTTTCTTTCCTGCTTTTGAGTTCCTTCCTGATGGTGTTGGTGCATTTGCTCCTGCTGCCGCTTCCCCAGCGGGTTCAGGTGGAGCGGCGAGCAATTCTTCTTTTCTTCCCATTACAGTGTACGGCAGGGGCACCTGTTGTCTTCTGGGTCTTCAATCTTACCAAAACCCCTTCGCAAATTCAACCGAAGTTTTATAGAGCAAGAGAGTCTCCTTCAATGCAACCATCTGCATGCATCAGAGGCTGCAGTCGGAGCATGGCCCCACATGAAGTGCGATGCTCCACAGGTCAACTTCAGTTTAAAGGGTCGAGAAATATACAGAAAAACGCAACGTGACATTTGTATTCTATTGTTCTAGTTTGTGATTGTTGCGTGCAGAGGCAAACAGGCTTTGCGCAACACAATCACAGCTCAAACAGGCGAGAGTGGGGCTGTGTAGTGCACAGGCACAACAATGTGGCTCTGGTGTGATATCTAGTAGCTCATTGACCATAAAGAGAATGATTATGACATTAGAAACTAAGAAAGGGAATCAATGCTGCTAGAAGTTCTGACAATCGCGCACCGTAGGTGGAGCCATAGGTTAGTAGGGTTACCCCGCCAGCTGCCACTATCGGCAGTGTAGAGCAATACCTACTCACTACTTGGACACCAGGTAGGCCCCTTTAGAGATCTTGTTGAACAAGAAATAGAATTATTACTATATAGGAGTATTATGTCTCTAAATACGACTTTGGTGGATGGCAGTTATAGGTCAGGCTCTTGCCGTCACCGTTGATATTCCCCCGTCTTCCTATAGTTTGGGCGGTGACACCCGGCCGCGACCGGGGTCAATTCAGAACAGTTCCTTTACTCTAGGAACTCACCCCTTTGTTAACAAATGTAATCAAACATGAATTGGAACTTGCAGCATAGACTTCGGAGAATGTGGTTAGTCAGAGGTAGCTCTCAGGCAGCCTGGCAGGACGAGATGATAAGTAGGCACAGCATGGTAAGGCTGCGCACTACAGGCTGGATAGAAACCGTTCCGTTACGGGTCTTCGATCGTTTTCTACTACTAGAACGGCTCACTATGCAAGTTACCATACTTGTCGTTTTTACCACGGCCAAGGTGGTATACAATCATTCAAAAAAGTGCACAAACCTACGTCGATCCCTAATGGGGGAATTATTGCAGCCTAGTTTATTCGATCTTGGCATGCGCATCTGAATTGATCGCATTGAAGCATACACGAGCCTAATAGGTAAACGGTACGCTAACAGTATATATCAACGGCCCAACGACTGTTTACAGTGTTCATGCGTCCTGATCTCAGTGGCTGAAGCACCGAATTCTGCGGAAGAAGCGGCGGCCTACCGTGAGTTACAGTGCACCCTGCTGCACCTGCACAGAGACTGAAAAGGAAGCCAGCTTCATTTTGGAAATTCTCATATCGAGTATTTCTGCTTCTTTGCAATTCCCACTAGACCTCGGCTAAGATCCCGGACCACCGTCACATTCGGTAGCTACTTGTTATTCAACAGGTGATGCTACCAACAACGAACATCATTCCCACAAGATACTGGCTCCCTCCATAGCCGTACGTAGAGCAAAAGTGATTCAAACTTTACATACAGGCGAAAAGCTTTCTGAACTATCCAAGAACACTGACACGTATCCGCCCCGACATGGGAGATTGATAAGGATCTGCGCCCTTTTGTGGGACCAAGCAACGGTTCGGAGCCTCAAACAGGCACTTAAACTCACGTTTTGCATCCAATCCAACCGAAAATGCTTTCTCAGCCGGAAATGTTTATGAAGGATGCCTCTGCCTTTGCGAGCCGTGCAGGGATGCATACAGGCGCGAAGCCGGGGCAGTGGAGGAGTTTATTGCTCCTTTAGAGTTATATTTTGGTCTCCCGCAAACGGCTGCAGAAGTGCAGCTGTCGCCAGTTTTGTTACTTCGAGGGGAAAAGCAAAAATGGCAGCTGCATGTAAGCAGGGATAGTGCTTTTCCGGAGCACATCTATGGAATGCGAGTTCTGCGGCATGCATTGATGTTTACATCCATACCCTCAAAGAAACAGGGTATACAAGCCTTGGAGAAGCTTAGGCATGGGAGTCTATCGAGATAGCGCTACAACGAGAAATATCATGCGTTGGTGGACAAGAATCCAGGACTTTGAACTCCTGTATCAGTGGTTGACTGATCGGGCTGTCTAAAGAAAGACTGTTGGTATGCAGATACGCAGTGGAGAGGGAAGTAAAGTGTAAAGGGTTGACCGTGCAGATATCTGGGTATACTTATGCATTAAAGACAGGAGAAGCTCCACATCGGCTGCCTGAACTGAGAACCAAAAGTGCGGACGGGTTGAAGGTCACCTCCACTCTGCAGGGGAAGAGAAGGGGAAGCCGATAGCAGCGAGTGAACTAGGGTCTTAGAAGTCAGGGGAGCTTTTCAACCGATTCATCTCGTTTGCTACAAGAGACAGTGTTACATACTCCGAGATGCAGACGTACGATGCAAGCGAAAGAGATGGAGTAGCAAGGCTTTGAGAAGCGCCGCCAGGCTAACAAACAACGAGACCACGAAGAAGCGAGGGCTTCCACGCAGCATGTTTCTCTGCGATGGGGCAAAAAGGAGACAGCCGCACCCGTGTAACGGAATGGCCGTAGGGCGTAGTGGGTCTGGGCCCATAGAAGGGGCTGGCGAGATACACAGGGTGACAAGATCGCCTGTGGCCGGAAAGCAGAACGAAAGTGGTTAAGGGCATTTTGCTGAGGATCACTGCGTTTAGACAAAGGCGTAGCAACCATCGTCGACATGGGAAAGGTGGGTGTTTTGCAGGGCACAGCTCGCGCCATCCTCTGTAGTGTGCGATCTCTCCAATGAACCATCCACTGAGCCTCTATAGGCCAATCCCTTGGAACTCAACAATATACAGTGTATTATACATAGTACATCAAACCACTTAGGCCGGAAGTCAGTCTGGCTTGTTTAACTAGAAGAGCAGTCGTTTCTCATGCAAACAAGTGGCATCTTTGGGTTACCCGTCTGGGCAACGGGAATCGAACCAGATCCGGCAAGGGAATAGAGGCCATTCACGAGTGGCCGTTACATTGCTCCACGTGCGCGGACTTTCCGATGTTCCCCCGCCTTGCTTGGTACAGAAGCTAAAGATTTCATTTGGTGAGAGACTGAGGATGCCACCGACGGCATCCTCAAAAGATCCATTACGTCGTCTCCAGTTATCCCGATTCCTGACTTCGAGAAGGCTTTCATCTTAACAACGGATGCCAGTAGCACAGGGGTTTGGATAGTGCCCTCTCAGCTAATCAGCCGTTCAAAAATGCACTGCATCCTCGCCTGCTATTCACATCGGAAAGAGAGCAGCAGCACCCTGTAAGAGATAATGACCTCTATGCTGTCGAGAGGGAAGCTAGAGAGTGTTCGCATTACTTATATACCAGGCCCTCCAGCATTCGGACAGATCATCAATCACTGACACACCTGAAGACGAACGTTCGAGACTATGAGAGTCACAGGGTTGGTCGGTGGGCTTGCCGGCTCACAGAGCACTAATTTACGCCGACATATACCAAGGGCATCGCGGGAGTGTTCGCTGACACACTTTTCCGCCTCCGCACCAGTAAAGCACTGCTTTCTGAGGCACACCTTGTGTGTGATGACTCCCGTTTCATTTCAAAATGGCCTTTCCCCTACTCATTGGGTATTCATGTGACTTCAGTATGGGTACGTCCAGCAATAGACGATGGCTGAATCATAGCACCGATGCAGTTAAATTGTGGCACCAGACGAAGCGTGATCCTTCCCGATTATGCGTTACTGCTTCGTTTCGGGCAAAAGATCGACGCGCAATGAGCAGCAGTGCTTTGGCAGGTAGTGGAGGGATCGCTCGTCTGACTAGGATGCACCTAGCAGCAGAGAAATAGGGCCTTACTTGCCCAGAACATAAGCAGCAAAAGAGAAGGAACACACTAGAGCTCAGACGGTTGCAGAGCCTTCCGATTTCCCAACGGATCTTGGCAGGTATCTTAGTGTCTGTTCATGGTAAAGGATCGACGTACACAGTAGCGACCGGACCTACCGCCATGATGGTACTTAAATGATACCTGATGTTCTGGAAGGGACCAGTAGGCTGGATGGTGGGGCTATTGTACAGCAGCTGCGGCCTAAGATGTGTGTGAGTGTGGACTGTGTTGAAGGATGGATGTTGCGTAGTGCAGAAAGTGCGTCCTTGCTCCGGTTTGTCTTTACCAGGGTCACTTTTACTGTTTCATTAGACACGGGGGCGTCGCGTTGTTTCGTTAGTCCTACAACTATGGAACGTTTGCAGTCAAAAGTACATCCCCAAAGAGTGCCTATTCACATTGGCTAATGATGCGCAGCTCCGTATCGAGCGAGCCGTATCAGGAGTGGCAATGCAGTGCGGATTTGTGCGCTCCTCGGAAGATTTCACAGTGGGTTCTATCTCATATCGTCGGGTGCAGGCTTTTGGTTGGCTAACTCGTAATAACCTTGCTTTGTCTCTCCATTTTGGCCAGATGCGGACCTACATAAACGGCAGAGTGTACGCGATGCTTGTAGACTTGTCACAAGACGGAAAAGACGGGGTGTGACAGCCCAAAGAGGCTTGAGAGGCGACTGGCTCCGCTTAGCTTCCTGCATTTCAGCGGGAGTTGCAGCAGGATGCGTTGCAACTGGGTCATAGGGCTGCTGTCCCGAGGTCTCGTGGATAGTGGAGGACGTAAGCCCCTACTGCGGAATCCTTAGCTTGAGCATTCAGATAGCACTCCAGGCCGATAGTCTTCAACTGAGATTGAGTTGTCCATTTACACTGTGCCCAGGACCTCTGGAAAGTGTGGTGGAGGTTAGCTGCTTTTGCTGAACTCTTTTTGGGTCTCTTCATGTATACTTGCAGCGTATGGCTATCGTCTGGTAAGGTTGCCCGCACTCGTCACAGCTCCGGGAGGCGCAGGAGCTGATGAAGGGGGTAATTGCATTTGGCTATCGCTAATCTGAAGTATTTTGCCTATATTGCTGATCAACATAGTGTTTGGATAAGATGGATGAGTCTGTTAGCAACTCCGTACCGTATGCAGGAATCCAAAGGACTGAAATGAACCCTAATCACCTGAGGGCTAGTCGGATCATCCCCTTGCAGTGCCTACATTGCTGCAGCTATTTCTTCAGTGTATGGTTGAAAAACGCTTGCAACCATATTTGTTTTGTCTAGGTGCTTTGGCAGCCCATGCTGAGCATCAGCACGAAGCACTACACGCCATCGGAGTTGAGCGAGTTTCCTGGGCATACAGGATTAACCGATCCCCCGAGAGGCTATACTTCATGGTGCCGCAGATAATTATCTCCAGGTTATTGGACAATAAAATCCTACTAGTCTAGGCAAGAGACAATGTTAAGAGACAATGTTATGGGGTTGGCCTTCTCTCCTTCTGTAGCCGGGGCACTGCACGATGGAACTGAAGCAAGTCGCCAACAGTGCCAGTTCGGACTCGGAGACATTGATGCACTGCACGGTGCATCAATGTCAGTAGTACTTGATTTTTGTGTGCATTCACCTGATCATCAACTGGCGCTAGATTTCTTAAGACGCACTTTTTGAAGGTTGGAGTGCAAACCATCCATGTTGGAGTGCCAATCATTGTGGCACGCTCTACCAGTTGTGACCAGTTCTCTCCATCGACATCCCTACGAGCCCTCACGAACTATTCCCAGCATATATGGACAATTTAAAAAGTTTCAAGCTAGAACCTGTTTGTTTGGTGGCTATTTGAAGGCGTTCAGTGCGCATCCTCTTCGTCTGGGGCATACCATTCGCTGGATATAGTCGATAGGCTATCAATAACGCATAGTCCCTGAAGAAGACAAGTGACTGGTAATCAGAGCGTTGTAGCACCAAATAGCCCACACTCCATGTGGGATTCTCCGACTCTTTCAGCCCGGTATACGGAAGGTGCCGTGCTTAGAGTTTCGTTGCCTCCCACAGAATCGACGAGAAGACGAGCACGCAAGGATGTGCATGACCCCTTCTCCACAATTGTGTATCGCAAGCACCGCAACAGCAGTGTTGCTTTGTCCCTAGCTGCACTCGCTTCAGTCGTTGCAATACTCTTCCTGGTTTCCCGTTGTGCCGCTGTGAGTACAAAATGGCTCCCAAACCGTCTGGGACGAAGGTTAGTTGTTGACCAGGAGACACAAGAATCTTCTCAAGGCAGCCATGTCCTTCAAGACCTGTGCGGTGGAGGAGACCCCCAATTGGCCACAGCCGCTCCCCGTCACCGGAGTTCAACCGAATCGCTGGATGCAGACTTGTTGGAGGCTTGGGGAGAGGCTGAGGGGGAGCCGCCGCAGAAGAAGAGAAAGGGAAACTTAGGAGGGCAACTGCAGACACAAAGCAGCCATTCACATGCTGTAGAGGGTATAGGAAAGTCTGGGGAGACGGCTGATACTGCTGATGTACTCCGCCACTCAATCCTGCTGTATGTCGAGCAGACGTTGTCGGAAAATCATGAAGGCCTAGATGAAGAAGAATGGCTGCGAGATCCCTTTGGAGAAATGCAGTTTTTAGACGAAGAACAGCCGACGCAATCGTTTCCTTCGGTTGAATCTGCTGCCCCAGGGCAGCAATCGTTTCCTACAGTCGGCTGGGCTACGGCAGGGCCGCAAACGTTTTCAACGGTTGAAGCCTCTGCGGTAGGGTCGCAATCGTTTTCTACGGTTGAAGCCTCTGCGGTAGGGTCGCAATCGTTTCCTACGGTTGCGTCCGCCTTAACGGGGCCGCAATCGTTTGATGCAGGCGAGTCCGCTGCCGTAGGGCAGCAGTCGTTTCCTACGGTTGCGTCCCCTGCCCCAGGGCAGCAATCGGTTCCTACAGTCGGCTGCGCTACGGCACGGCTGCAAACGTTTTCTACGGTTGAAGCCTCTGCGGTAGGGTCGCAATCGTTTCCTACGGTTGCGTCCGCCTTAACGGGGCCGCAATCGTTTGATGCAGGCGAGTCCGCTGCCGTAGGGCAGCAGTCGTTTCCTACGGTTGCGTCCCCTGCCACAGGGCCGCAATCGGTTCCTACAGTCGGCTGCGCTACGGCACGGCTGCAAACGTTTTCTACGATTGATGCCACTGGGCTAGGGTGGCAATCGTTTCCTACGATTGCGTCCGCCTTAATGGGGTCGCAATCGTTTGATGCAGGCGAGTCCGCTGCCGTAGGGCAGCAGTCGTTTCCTACGGTTGCGCCCCCTGCCCCAGGGCCGCAATCGCTTCCTACGGTCGAGTCCGCTGCTCCAGCTCCTCTAAATGGGTCCCCCACACTTGGGCGTACTGTTTCGACACTACTTTTCCTCGAAGATGGTGCTGCCGATATTCCTCCAAACGGCCAAGATAAACTCCAGGGGGCTATCATCATGCAGCCAAGAGAGCATTCGGTTGCTATGCAAGGCGCCAGTAAAACTCTACTGTGCCAGTTCATAGTCGGGGAGGAGGGCACCAAAGGATCCTATATGCTATTGGGTAGTGAGGTTTCGGATTTCCAGGTGCGTTGTCATACGTTCTTTTGCTCTTCTGCCTGACACGTATATATATATATATTATATAT